TATAGGATAATTTTAAATGGTCAAGCGAAAGATCAGTCATGTCCAGCTAGTACGACAGCCGCGTACATAACCTTAATTAACAGAACTCCTCCAAAAGGACAAGGAACAACTCTTCTGAGTGGCCCGACCGATGCCACTGCCGCCAGGGGCCAGCCAGAGGAGTCTCACAAGCGATGCAGGCAAAGTCCTTGGAGCCCTGTAACTACTGGCAGAGGTGAGCATCTGCAGAAACCGTGGCAGTAACAGAAGGAAACTTGCTGAGCACTACGCAGTTCTTCCTATCCCCCTCCACCCAATGCCGTTCGTGCACCCCACCGAAAAGCCACCCGTTCTTCGTCTCATATCGCATTACCATTTGCCATGTTTTCCTTGGCCCTGGAGACTCCGTAGGGCAGCCAAAACGAACAGCGTTCGTTCAATTCGCCTCCATTTATAATGTCCTGTCAATGTTCCTCTCTAATTTATACCGCCAAGTTAGTGGCAGTGGATTCGTTTGCTGTGAGCATATGAATATAGCAGCCGACAGCAAATTAGACAAGGGAAAAAAACAGTATCTGTAGGAATACAAGCCTGGGCACACTGATCACTGCAAATTCAGATAGCACGGGAATTTGCGAATATTGAAATTTTAGAAATGACCATATGACTTTCTGTCGAGTCGAAATCTTAATTTGAACAGAGGTTGGATGTTAATATTGCAACCGATCACAGTATCACAAGCACCACTTATGAGATTTAGGTGTCATCGGGTTAATTCAAATGATTCGTATGTTATGGTTGGTAAAAGCTTCTCATACATGCGATCCGTTCTGCCCCAACTAGAGGACCTTTATAAGAGATAGCAATGCGTGTGCACTAACCATATATACTGTGTAATCAGTTCAGAGATCTACTTGATAAAAGTGTAATCTAAGCTTGCATTTGGTCATTCGTTGAAACGGATGAAGTGTTTCTGAAGTGATATAATACTTTCTGTGAACACTTGGACACCATATAGGGGCGATGCTGTCACTTCATCACGACGACCAGCGTTTAGCCGACGACGAATGGGTGACAGGTCTGTAGTTACTCTGGGGTTCACTTGGAGACGAAACGCATTTGCGTTAGCTTGCCCTGCACTGGAGCTGTTAAAAGCTTGGTCCCTGAAGTTCGAGACTTTTTTGAAGACTTCTTTAAAAAAACAATCCCTTGATGGAGTTCCTTCCTATAACAGGCCTTTCGACACTTTTTCAACCGTACTCACTCACCATGGATATGCACCCATTAAGTTGGTCGCCGGCTGAGTTGCGCTTGCCAACCAAGCACCTGACTGAGCGGCCGACTGACCGTTTCGCGCACTTTCAAATATTCCATAAAAAATCTATCTCTATATAGCTAGCTTGTTAACGGACGTCCATGCTAGACTGTATGGTCTTGCAGTACTAACAATGCGAGTCAGAAGAGATACCTGTTGCTGAATTCTAGAATCAGAGGTCATTGGAGCTTGCCCCAATTTTAGAGGGCTGTTGGTCGTTACTTCGCTCAGGTCTGTAGCACTCTAGCACTAACAGGATTAAAGGGCGCGTTCAAGGAATAACACAGATTTAATAGAAGCCAGACGGTATATTTCGGCGCGAATGTTAACCTTCGGATTGTGGCATTAATTTCTAAAAAGAAATTGTTTCCTTAGGCCAGGCTGCTGGACTCTGTTTCGTTAGACTAGTCTTGTTGATACTATAGGGCTTGCGTGAAATCCATTTGAAGGTAAACGATAAATGATATATTTGGCTCCTGTTTATGCTGTATTGTTTTTTTTCATTGTCTAAAAACCTGTCAACCAAGTTCTGCTCTACTGCATACATCCACGTCAAAAGGCCATTGAACTTTTGTAAGACCCACTCATTTCTGGGCGACCATTTTCATTGCGTGTTATAAAATGACTATAGTTATAGAGCAAACCTAGTGGAAGGGAGGTGTGGTACGACCAGCAGAATTTAAAAATGTTTAAATCTCGAGAGCTATTGGAAAGCTATTCATTCCTGTACCATGAGGATCAACAAAACCGTATAGCTGGTGACAGTCCTCTGACACTTTCAGCGGACCTGTCTCGAATTGTATGTTGTCGTCGGTTTTTTGATGCTCGCAAGTTGTTTAAATGACGCCTACGAATAGGCGTTAGAAGAGATCGTTTCCTGAATCGTGACGAAAGCAGGTTTGGAAAGTAGAGCTTATCGATTGAAGTCTAACACACGTCAAACAAATCAAATGTCAATCGCCAATTGTTATTCTATTGTGCTAACAATGTTGCTGCTGAAACGAGAAGGTGTTTTCATATGCAATTCGGGTCGACCCTGATATAAAACGGCTAACGTAATAGTAAATCGTGCACCTAGTAGTATAGCAAATACTCTTGATGGTTAACATTAAAGATATTGACTGACGAAAATCGTAGTTATCATGCTTAACGTGTGGGCAGGTGAGCAGAAGACTATCTTCTCCTAGGAAATGTAGTGCTTTGGATTGTAGCAAATTGCGCGGGCTAGGCGTTCGCTCAGTTAATTGACTGGTTGTACTACACGAATTTCGAGAAGATCTGGACGCTGTTTCTCCATCTAATTGATTGTCCGACGTTCTCACTACAACATAGTAGAAATAAAGACAAAAATGTGATATTACCCTTAAACTTACTGGCTTTTTGGTATGATAAGGGCCCATTTTGAAATGCCTAGTACGCTCTCAGGCTGTCTGAGCTCCTTATGCATATAGCCTTGAATATGCTCAATGATTTCTAGCAAAAATGCGTCGTACAGCGCGGAATATAGGGAATACGCACGCACGCACGCACACACGCACGCAGGCAACAATTATCGTTATGCTCACTCGATCCTAGCGCAGGATCCGGAAGCCACCAGAATCTTCGCCACGCTGTGCGCACTAGCGCCACAAGTGGTCGGGTTACGAAACAGAATTTAGATCACTTCCTAGTTCACAGACTGCTCAAACAGCAAACAAAGTGATCTCAAGCAGTCTTTCCGCCGACGTAAATGTCTGTTCCTTATCATCATTTGATATTTACCCCATGAGAACGGGATAAGAACCACACAGCCGATGTGCGGACAAGTTGAATTGGGCGCTGGGCAGAGGACGGGGTACGGGCAACAAAGAAGGTTATTCAGTTAAGAGATAGGAAATTCGGTTTGCTAAACCTGATTTACAAAGGGGTACAGGGACAGAGGGGTTCTCAGACTTGCGTTAAGGACTTCTGCGTATTAAGCGAGTTTGCACAGCGGAACAAGAAAGGGCATATATACATTTAGTGGACTCGGATTTGCCTGACTCGAGAACTTGCTGAGAGGGCATTCACGATATGGTAATTACATTAATTTGATACTCTGGCCTGTGGGACAGCTGGCCGGAGAATGGACAAGGCGGAAGAATAGAGACTGGCTGGGTTAGGTAAGGGACCGTTGTAATCGTTGTATTATATGTGTAATGAGCTTAGGCACGAACCTAGGCGAATGAAGGTTCGCTGATTCAGACTGTCAGGGGTTATCTTCGGTGATAACCACCCTTCTATGGGCTGAAATTAATTTAGAGTTATTACGTCCAGCATACATCTTGACCTAGGCCGCTTTTTTAATCAATGTTTCGTTGTTACAGAAACGAAGTGGGTTGTTTCAAATCCCTATTAAGTTACGACACTTTAAACAATTGGCATGATAATGAAAGGATAACCAATATCGCGAATAGAAGTCAAACGTATTCTCATAATTTCTATTGATTAGCCATATTTTGATTCTCTACGAGGTATAGATGCATCAATAATTAGTGCCTAATGGAAATCTCTAGAGTCTTACTGTAATTTTTTATTGTGTCTGCCACGGTAGAACGTTACCTCAGTGGAAACATGCTAGTGTCTCACCGTGGTAAACCAAGTTTTGACTTTACATCGGGACTTTCTTGGATAACTTGCACGCGTTATAAGTAAGATCAGCAAAAACTATCGGAGCCATAGTCAAAAAACTAGTCCTTGTTCAATGTTCGACCAGAATTTAAAACCATCATAAATAGTTCTAGGACCCCTCGACGCGTGGACGATTTTCACTAGCGCGTATATTATATAAAACTCATAAATTTGCACTTTAAAACGGAGCATGAGTTCGGTGCTCTGGGTGACCGTGCTTTACTGTAGAGCCTCAATCGTATGCTAAACGGGTTACCCAACTGGAATCAAATTGGCTACACGATGTCAAATAATGAAACGGTAATAGTATTCAATGTCCTCGTTAATGGATTCCGCGAAACTGCGGTTCTCTTGTCTCGATATATCAGCACTTATCCGGAAGCTGCAGAAATGTCCTCACTAAGTCTCAAATTTGTTTGCTTTCAGTTTGTGCAAGGTTTTCTTCCAATTTTGTTCCGCTGTGTTTCGAAAGCTTAGCAGTAGCTGCCGTCATATGTTCTACGCAAAGCTCATCACATTAAAAAAAAACTAGAGGAAGTAAGCTAAAAGATAAAATGTCGAGTGACTAGCCACCAATTGATCCTTCGATTGTAAACCTATTATACTCGCTAGCGCTAGCTGTACTTTTTCTAACTTGAATCTCACATCCTTCATTGCCGTAAGCCCCTTTTTAATGCATCTGATATGTATTGAACTATTTTTATGGTGCACATCGGCAATCAGCGAAGAAATATGGTGCTAGCCTACATAATATCGCCTGACTCAATTACCTATAGCCTACGCTTGTATCAGCATTTTCTTCAGTAATTTTTATACGTTTAGCCATAAAAAGTCGTACGAAAAGCGGAGTCGGCAATTATTTCAACGGATTCAACTGCCAGAAAGAAAACCGCACTAATTTTATATCACGATAGTTAAATTCAGTAACCAATTCATATACAAACATCAAACGCATAGAACTGTTTTTAGATCTTCGACAACTACCTGATTCTGTGAAAATAGCTTGGTTCTGTTTGAGAGTATTGTGCAGCTTATTCTTCTACGCTTCCAGGTGAGGGCAGAATTATTGACGAATGGTGACATAATCTATTGCTGACATATGAGGAAAAGAGCCTGCTAGTAGAAACGTGTTAACTTGTCGCCAACTTTCCCACTCTTGTTGCGCAATTCGTGTCGCACGCGTGGATAGCTGGATTGATCAGCTCGCTCTGAAACTTCTGAGATAAAATGAGGTCTGGACTCGTTGCAAGTAGAGGCACGTTGCTTATATTATTGCTAACCGCTAATCCTTCCCCTGTTTATTTCCGGCGTTGGGTTTATCGATTTGTAGATAGCCTTATATTCGTATTTTAGCGCCTTGATAAATTAGCACATTATTAATTTATATATAATATAAAATAACGTATCTGCATCTAATCTTTTAGATATATGCGAGGGTGCGAGCAAAATCCACTGCGCGGAGACGGATCTCACTGAAACAATTGCTGCAAGATAATTAAATTATCACGACATTAAACATTTGCAGTCAACATATATCGTTCCCCACCACACATGTATGTGTTACACATGTGGCTTACTTCGTGAATAGAGGGGCGTACTGGAACTGGCCTAGGAACATATTGCGAAACTGGTCTGGATCCAAAGATATAATATCAAAGAATCGATATGTGGCCTAAAGATCAATGTATCTTTAGAAGGCGGAATTTATCCGCACTGAACGTAAGTAAATTCTTCCTAGTTTCTTAGAATTTGCTGTTTTACAAGGTGGCAACTTGTACAATTTCGTCAATTCCCTAAAATTTGTCGCTCGTGCGAGCTCACTGAGGGAACCGTTCGGTATAGTCTAGATTCATACGGTTGGTACGTGTGTGAGGTAGGTATCAAATTAATTATACGCTGATCGTTGCCGTTCTCCAGTTTTGATTAGGTATGGTAGGACACGGGCGATTATCAGTTAGGCACGGCTTGTAACACAGATCTATCGTGTTTTCTTATAACACTTATTTACACAATTCACGCGGTTAGGTTTTGTTATTCGTTTTTCTCACGAGAAAGCACTGCTTACTATTTGCTCATGATTTTATACTTTCATAGGCTTAGTCCTGTACAAATGTTGGTTTCCAAGCCTCTACAAAAGGCTGAATAATTTATCGGTCTATGTTAGAAGACACAAGGCGAGCAGGTGACGCGTCCAAATACAAAACTAAGCTTTGAATAATTTCATTTGGCTTATTTCCAGCGGGACGGAAACAAAAGTATGCTTGTTGTCTACCGTAACGGATTTATTGTGAAGTAAAGCACTGGAGTGCACAAGCGTATTCACGTTTATAGGTTCGTATATATAACGTATATAAGAGAGAACTGTTCCTTCATATAATATAGGTTCGATTAAATAAATCCGATGTAGCTTATAGTTACAGAATACGTTGATGTTCCTGCATACAGGTCACGGTGTCAACAGGGTAAAGAAAGGAGAAGCTAGGATGAAATGGGCCGTGAAGACCCTTTTCTTATCCTCTCTCTCTCTCTCTCTCTCTCTCTCTCTCTCTCTACTTGGCGCCGATTACGACTGGAAATGATTTTTGTTTGAGGCAGAAGCAAATAAACTATAATAACGCCGATAGCGCATCTTCTATTAGATTTATTCTGGATATCTTATGCCACTTTACTCGAGCTTCGTCATACCTCGATGATTAGAAAATAATTATTTTTATGTTTCATACTCCATATGCGCCTTATTTGTCTTGTTCTTTGTTGTATTTTCTTGTACGAGGTCCATATGCTAGAGCAACCCTCCGATGATCTTCTAGGGAAAGATATGCGTGCGTTTTTGATTAAGTCGACATAGTTTGCAGAGCTGTGTTCAAGTTCCTTTAAATTAGTCAAGATTGAACCTCGTCCTCTCATACATTGTCAATCTTTTGATAAAGTTGATAAATTTCAATTTTAGACACTACAATGCGGCTGTACAGCCGATAGAACGGTCATTGCTGAAAGCTAAGTTTCGATGCAATCCCCATCAGTAGCTAGTAAGTAAGTAGACTTAACTCTTTTTATCAAATCAGTCCGTGTTCAAGAAGAGACGGCGCGCTTTTATTGTGTAGATTTAGATTAGTTATTAAGAACTTCATATAATTAATGTTTTTTAAGGGTGAGCTCTCCAGATACGCGAAATAACATGCGACGTAGCTCACTCTGTTTAGTATAAAATATTGATCGTTCGATGTACAGAATACATTGTGTGCAGTATGTTAGGATTACTCGATGTTTTGAGACATGAAAACCATGTTCCGCCATACTGTCGACTAGACTAAATAAGGTTTGAATTTGCATTCTTGCATATAATATAATAAATGTCTAAGTTTCTTATGATTTTCTTGTTTCATGTATATGCAAACCTCGAACGAAGTTTATTATGTTAAATGTATTTGAACCAACAATCTTACTTGCAAAGTGTCCTTGTGAAAATGCCCATTACGTTGTTCCGCCGAGATGAAAACTTATTCAGTTTTAGGAAAATATCTCATGTTAAATTAGAGACGGTGGAGTTTCTCTATTTACATACGAGTACGATTACCCAACGCAGAAAAATGAAACCTTTCCAACGCAGTAACACGCCGACATTTTGCTAGCTGTCTAGGTAATTGGTAAAAGTTTGTAAACGAATAGCAGTACAGAAGAAACCCCGGCAATTATGAAGTCCCTTTTGCCGGCCCGTTTGTCTTGATAGGACACATGAATGAAATTAGTTTACTCAAAGTATCTAACAGGACGACCCATTAATGATGTCGAACTGGTGAATTTCCTACAGAGTTCAGACTTTAGGCTGCACCATAGTGAGATTAAGAAAGATAGATACAAGTTGCCTGATCCTCCATTCACACTAGAATATATCTAATAATAGTACTAACAAATAATTATATGACTACGCTTATTATAGGATGAATGGGGTAGGGTAGACTATAGGAGACACCGTCATAATTCGCCTATTATCCGAGCTTGCAAGACGCAGTAAACTTCTCCAAAAATACAACGTTTATCGTTATAGCTTATTGCGCAGCTACAATGAATTAAGGTTAACTTTGAAACGTTGTAAATTCTCTTATAAAAATGGCACTTGAGCTGGGTTAATATTAAAAGGTTACCGAAAGTTATTTCGTGCAGCTTTACAGACCTATACTGTGAAATCAATCTTCGGTATGTGTTTATATATCTACCGTAGTATTTAACAAAATATACAAAAGTTATACCACGGAGTAGCTCTCGTTATATCGGTTATTATGAACGTCGATAGTCGTAAGTCGCCTAAGTCGTTAGGATCGCAACGGCTTTAGCAACGCTCTATTTACATACTTTCTTTACATCTTGATTTTAATACCCATACAGATGTTTAAAATACATTCGATTATGAGGTTGGATTGACGTACTTTTCCATAACTTCCGAGTGCGAGACCGATAGATAATAATTTACTTGTTATTGTTGATACTTACAATTTTTATTAGTTTTTATCTCACATACAGAATGCTCGAACGATGATTAGATATTCTGCTCGAAGATCAGCGACATTCCTCTAGAGGGTTTAATTAATGAAGCTTTTCATATGGTAGTTATTCATATTCAGGAATCCATTTGTTACGTAAGGGCAATAACAACAGCAATAAGTTATGTGTCTTAAAACGCCATCAGTCTACATCGCTTCAGAATACATCTTCAATAAAAGTGCGCCAAAACATCCTCTCAAAAGTAGAAGAAGTTACTCTACCCGAATATTAAATTAGAAGAACTACGAGCCTGTGAATGTACGGTATTCTGCAAATCATCTTAGGAAGTTGTGCGACACGTAAGACTATAAAATGGCGCGTTTTTCCTCACAGTATCTTCTTTTTCCTCTCAGACATCGACGCTCGTCTTCTACCATCATCAGTCGTTTACCCTACTGTAAATTGCTTCTATTGTCAAGTTCCGTTTCCTTCAATCTCGAATTTGAAGTTTTTTTGCCTCTTCTTTTCCGATAGTAACTTTCCATCTGCCTCAATTTTATTTCCCCACATCAATTTCTTCCAATGAACGCTGCTACGTCCTATGCCTTTTTCAAGCTGTCAATCCCCAAGGTGTCGTATTGAGAGAGGGCTAGAGAGGTCTTTCTTATGGCTTTAATATTAGCGGCAATTTTCCCCTCTGTCACACATATTAGCAGAAGGGGGAGAGAAGGCAGCAGCACCAAAGAAGCCCTCCGGTGCGCCAGTTTTCTTGACGTCTGTCGTTCCACTCGACGATTCCTCGCGCGGAAGTAAATGAGTGGGGGCAATTTTTGCTGTAAACGTATCGTTGGCTGACACTACCACATCCCCCGTAGTAGGAGCAAGACTAATAACAGCAGCAGCAGCAGCAGCGGCGGCAGCGGCGGCGGCGATTGCGCTACTGCCAGCAAACAATCGAAGTTCTGGCTCAAGCATCTACAGCCTTCTTGCGGTCTAACGACGCGCTGACAAACGGTCAACGCGGACAAATGGTCGGCAGCGTGAACGACGTGACGCCTTGTAAAGTGCGGGCCTATTCTGTTGCTTCTGGTTCGGGCCCTCCGCACTTGTGTGCACTTCTGGCTCTAGTTGATCTTGACTTCAGCTTGCAGCTGAAATTGCCGTAAGCTGTCAAAGCACCTCGATCGCCATACCTCTATACAACTGCCTAGAGTCGCTTGAACGAATGTTCTCTATTAGCTTTACCGAAGTGGGTCCAGCAGGGCGACAAATGCAAAATATGCTGATGATACTAAAGCGGTTGGAAAACATACAGACACGTACAGACGGATGTGTGCGACGCGCGTCGTCTTTTAAAGAAAGATTCTCCCCACAGGGTTACACTAAGTTACGCTCGTAATATGCTGATAGCTTGCTCGGAAAGCTGTTCCTGTACTAACGCATTTAGTCCAACGCTATAATATGTAAGTCCGAATTTCTCTAGTTGAGATTATACAACTGTTCGTCCAAGTAGGATTAGGGGTGAGCAAATGTGCATTTACAAAAGTAACTACATCAAAGACTAGACTTTCTGAAAACAATCAGGCAGATACCAAGTTACATAGAAATGAAAGCCACACCTTCAAAACATATTCGACAAACTCGTAGTCTAACGAACACAACTGTGTAATTTGAAATAAACTGACACGTCCTGTTTCGAAATAAGATGGCATCCATGGTAGTCAGGAGATCTTCAGCTTCTTTAGCTTGCGTGTTGCATATAGGCTGCTACTTATTGTCAGAAGACTCGTGCGCTTCTTGTATTGTATGTTTATCGGCTAGCCGTGACGATTCCGACATCTTGTTCAACGTATGCCCGGGAATCGCATCGGGTATGTAACAATGTCCCAATGCATGGCGTTGCTTATTCAATCTTTCGTTCGGAAACACATTGGCTGTTTGATAATACTTGTACGAATAATGATTGCCGGATATTCTGATGAGCATACCTTTTGTATAGATAGACTGGTAACCTATTCAACGCTACTATACTAATTGAACGCTAACTATATCGTGATTATATCGCCGGCCCTACCAAATGATGTACATGGCTATTGCAATCAATACCGTAGCAGCAATCTGAAATAAACCTGTGAGCATGAAGATGCTACAAGATTATGCGGTTAACATTAACAAAAAAAAAAAAAAAAACGCTACACACGACAAATGATCCACTAGTAAATTTGTCCTAGATGTTTCCAAATACATCTGAATATGTACTTGGGCAAAGTTGCAATTCAAACGAGCTCTTTGCCTTCCTCAAACGCTGTCAGTATACACGATGCTACATACCTATAAATCGCCAGAATATAATTCGATGAAGATGTGATCTACCTTGGCTGTACCCTTTAAATCCAATGGCCTTTTGCCCGTCGAGCTTGGATGGAATATGCTAGTACACTGTAAATAAGTTAACGCACTATGTTAGCTTTTGAACTTCTCAGCTACATATGTAAATTTTTGTATAGCTATTTAAATGAAGTTCAATGTCGATGTAGCGCAGTTTTGTAGAAAATAGATGGCCTAAAATAGAGTGACCTTACTCAAACCTGCGATAACGTAAATGTTGCTTCGGCCAGGGGATGTGCTGAAATTAAAATAGCTACTTGGTACACGCCGTGGGCCTATTTTCTTTGAAATGAGATGGCAGCAGAGATCAGAAGCGAACGCTGTTAAAGATGCGCGCTTCTACAGACTATAGCGAATGCCTGTAGTAGATTTCATTGGTCCCACTTTACAACACGCCAATTATTAGTGTTCTTCATTGTTAGTTTCATCGTTATCTAGAATCTAGAGCTTGTGTGGTTTATCCTGCTGTTTTATATTTGTTCGATTATCGAACCAGGAACTATTACCTGGATTTGCTAAATATGATCTAATAAGTTAATTTCTAATATATAATGTGAATGAATAGAATTGTGGAAGCGGCTGTAACAAACGTGCTACATTGTTAAGGACAGTCACTAAAGCCATTGATGCACCATAGGCGACATGATATCGCGTGCAGGGTCTTTGACATCATTCATAGCGACGATCGTCTTCTCGGCCATGGCAACTAAACGTCTGTTAACGAACGTATTAATAAAACCCTGTGACAAACAAAACCCTGTAAAAGCAACAGCTGTTAATCTGCTTGTACACATGAAGCGTATTTTCATTTTTCCACTACAACGTAGAACAGAGCTCTTACTTCCTTCTCGTGTCGTCTTTGGATTGGCGGCATACTTCGTCTCTATTAGGCTGAACCGCTGTGTAGTTCAGAAGGAATACTGGCATTTCCTGCAGCTAGTAGACATCTCTATTTTAATGTTGATTCTTGAATAGTGAGACGCTTTTTCGATACGTGAATCCGATCTGATAGAGATAATGGAACTGTACTTTCGGGGCACACATTAGGTGAGGTACGTCAAATACACAGAACGCTATTTTTAGATACAAGACCGCAAACGCTGCTGTTAGAGGAAACCTAAGCAGTTTCTCAATCATCGTAGCTGAGACGAGCCCCTTTCGCATCCTAAGCGTTCTATGCTTTTTCAAGAATGACTGAGTATCATTGCCACTCCAAACCGGCCAAAGGTTACTATTTAATATTCCCACAGCCGTGGTGAGTCCGATGCAATACGAGTAGTCCTTTTGACCGTTTTTCTCGCCCCGGGCTATACCTCAAGGCCTAGTCGACTAATAACAATAAGCCTCGAAAATAATCAAATTCTGTTCGAAATAATAAGATCTATTTCTTTTAGGACACGAGATCTTCTGTGTAAAAGGAGAACACCGACTTGAGCGTCTTGCTTCGCAACTTAAATTCACAGGTCCCTAATCACAATGTAAGGTATGTGTGGACTGAAATTTTCACCCTAAGTCACATGCATTAGATGTTTTTAAAGTTCAGGTCTCCCAACTGCGTCATCTACTACTTGTTTTCCTGAAGTACAAACCGGAGCAGGCTGAGTCCGGTTGTATTCGGATAAACTTATGAATGGTGTCAGTTCTCTAGGGCTATATCGAATACTAAACTAACAGTATGCCGAACGTTTTCCGCTAAGGTCGGGCCAGCTATAAAGGTGAAAGGACTCGTTTGAATAATCGGAATGGCAAATAAGAGCTTCTCCAAAATCGTGATTATCTGTAACAGTTAGCAAAAATTCATAATGGTAGTCGTTCTTTGCAATTAGGCAACAAGTGACAGGTTCATAAGGACCAATTTATTTTTCAATGTTGTATAGAGACTGCATCTTACCTGACACAGGGTTTTACGCCATTCTATTCCTATCGCTCTCGCAGGTTAAGTGTCGAACGCGAACGTGCAGCAGTGGTCGATTGAAGTATGTTACTAATGTTGGTCCCGACTTGAGTCGAACAGCTTCATTGCGGCATAATTTTGCCTTAACTTCCATCACTTCATGAATTTCGTATCACGCATTTCAAGCACCAATGTTTTTCATGTGCGAGACATCCAATGCTCCCGGCAAATTTTCCTGGCGGACTTCAGACCGTTGAATAAAGATACTTGCTCCAACAGGGCCCACCGTAGTTGAGCCCCGTCTATCCCGGGATGAGATATTTAATTAGTGACTGACGCGCACTTTTCAGGAATTGCTGTTCTTCTTGCATTGTACATCGAAAATTATCGAAGGGCATACATTTTGCTTAGATGCCACATACGAAAACTTATACTAGAAAAGAACAAAAACGAGTCACGCTAATATTTATACATTAACTTTTCTAACGAAAAGCAATAATGTGTGCTTATTTGTTGTAGATATCCTGTATCTATTGCCGTAAGGGACACTCGTCCCTGGTGAAGCCTTTTTAAAACCGCTGTTCATAACTATAGGATTACAGGTAGTCAAGATATATTCCATCGCTAATTTTAATCGACCTATTGTATGATTATTCACGGAATTTTATTGTCAGTCGGTTTATATACTTCGTTGGCTCAATGCCTGCCATTTTTGCAAAAACAGCGAAACGCAAATACGCAATAAACACTTTCTGGAGCCCTATATATTAAAGTAGCAGTGGTGCGAGCAGCTACCGGCTGAAGTGTTGTTTCATGTACTAATTTAAGTTCTTCGTCCTTCGTTGTAAGGCTTCATAACTAACGAGGCGTCGGCTCTTACAGATTGACGGCATATTGAAGTAAATAGAAGTTGGCTTAGATGCGCGCACGCAAAAAGCGGATCGCAACTACGAGCTCCGATATTGTCCCTTAAACGCGGCTAAGTTTTAGTCTTCTCAAAATCGCTAGTTCTATTTCTTAGCATTCTATTCAATAAGTTGTATTTATGTGTTCACATTAAACTGTCCTATTGTATTTCTTTAGGATATAAGGACCCTATACACTGTCGCTAGCTTTGCCTGAACCTACTTATGTTCGCATGCCGTATATATTTGAAAAAAGGAGTGCTCATGTTCTTATGCACGGGAAATTCCGCTTAGTAAATGATCGTCAATATAATTTATTTATATAAATTCAGCTTAAACAAATCAATTCATTGTTAGAGATTCGCTAACTAATGCATGACAGCTTAACATGTTGGTGTGCATTGCGGCACTTGGGTGTCCACTGACATCCTTCTTACTAAACCCTGCACCTCACTTCGTTCTTCCCCTTACGATGAGCACATAAATAGGGAATTGTTTATCGATTATAAAGGAACCTCTCAAGAACATTCTTGTCTTAGATCACAGTCATGCGGTATAACTAATCGTTTTATCACAAACGAATGCTTTCGGGACAACTTTGGAATGTAGTAACTATCGGTACTACGGGGCCAAGCGATTCCTTTTGCTATGTTGGTATACTGTGCAGATAGGCGCGCAAAATGCTACCTGTGGTCGCTTACGCATCCGAAGTTCATTTTGTAACTTGTATGTTCATACTCCAAAATCGCTATAAGACATGCGCTAAAGAATCCCTGCAATGTGAGAAACGTCGAATCAACTAAATGAATGTTTTAAGAAATTCGGAACCAGCGATATAAAATTGGCGTCACTACTTCAGAATCGAGGTCTTTAATTCGTAGAAGACTCCCTTTCTGTAGGATGTTCCTCATTAGTAGAACTTCTTGCACCGGTATGGGAAGCATCGATTGACGAAAATCGAATGTGTCTACGATCCGATGCGACATCCGATACCACACCTCGTATGGAAGACTTCCTCTTTTCCGAAGCAAAAAGCACCACGCCGTACGATGGGCCTTCAGACCTACATCGTGTATAAGATTTAGATCTTAAAGCAGATTGCCTTGTAGGAGACCTACGTCGGGAAGAGAAATTCTGCAATCCAAAGCACGCACGATTTTCGTCGGGTTTGTCACTTTCACAGTGTCGATGTTCCATGGAAATTTCACGGCTTCCAGGAGATAGTTGTTTCGTTGAAAGGTTGTGTCTCGCGTGTGACTTACAAGGTCTAGGGAACGCGCAGGTAATACCGATGCTTCTTGCAGATTTGGCCATACGGATTCCTGCCCCTGTAGGACCTCTAGTGTTCACCAAGGCTTGTTCTAGCTCGTCCATAGTTGGGCTGCTTCCTGCAGCTGGCTCGCCGGGCTCATCAGGTTGAATTGGTTGTTCCATATCTTCAAACTTCCTCGGTTTTTTTTTTTTAGCAGGGACCCTAGGTGCAGGTGTAGGTGTAGGTGTAGTGCTTTTCTTCATACTTCTTATTGTCCAGTCTGTGGCCTTGGCCCATCTTATCGATTTCGTCCAATCGACTGTATTGCCAAACTCTTCATCAGTTTTAGCTGGAGGCAAACTTCTCCCCCGAACTTTTTTGGTTCTTTTAATTATAGTGGTACCTTTGTTACGTGTAGGTGATTTAGCTTTGAAAGGAGACTTAGTTCTACCTTGTCTGCCTCTTCTGTCAGATCTATCCTTGGTTTCCTGCTCAGGATTTTCGTCTCCATGAAGACCCGTGCTTCCTGCTGCGATAATAACTGGGCTTAATTTTCTAGCGATTTTCTTTTTTCTGCGACTCATTTCTTTTCTCGGTATAACCTCGCATTTACTTCCTGTTTTTAATTCTTTAACTGAACGTCGTATCCCTTTAGCACCATCTCGCTTTTTAGATTCTTTCGCCCTGGACCTGTCCCGCGGCACGTGGGCAGTCTTTGCATTAACCTGTGTGAATTGCGCTCTCTGATCGAATTTTTGCGGTGTTTTGTGACATTCATTAGTTTCCTCTTCTAAAACATCCTCGTTTCTCTCTAAAAAGTAGCCATACCGGTCGGTTTTATCCTGTCGCAGGTCGTACACATTGAGCTCATTATCATCTTCGGCTTCCGTAGACGCATCCATGCTCTGCCAAGAACTGACCTCTTCGCAGCCATCATCGGAATAATCTAGGTCTTCATCTTCATACTCACTTCTTTCGCTACCACTACACTCCCCGGAAGAGGAAAAACCTCCTCTTAAGCGGGATCCGTATCTTGCACGTGTACTGCTGCTTGATCCGCTACCGCTACTGGTATTGATACTCGGTTGAATTCTTCTACTCCAGCGACACTGCCTTCCCCATAGCCTCCATCTTGCCCATTGGTTTTGATTTCTAGCAGGTCTAATTCGAGCCCGCGTACGACTTGGTATATAAATTCGGCCTATCATAGTTCCTGGGTCCAAGTGGCTCCGAGATTCCGCAGCGTTTGTCCTACATCGATGACGGCGATTACCCACTTTCGCAGAAGCCCTTCGACGAGCAGTGTGACCCCTGGCAACTGACCTATTTTTTCCAAAACCACGAGCTTCCTGTGTAGTCCTCTGTCGATTACCAGGTCGAACCTCCACAGCTGCTTTACCACGACGGTCTTGAGCGCGCGTAGTTAGCTGGTTCGTACTGAATGATCGGACTCTTCCAGGTGTCTTACTTCTGTTTCGAAATAGAATACGTGCCCCTCGATTTTTTCCACGATAGCCAAACCTCCAAATGACGCCGTTTCCAGAACAAATGTGTTTCCTCGAACAATCACCGGTTCCTTCCATTATTAATGTTTGTCGTACATGTCCAATTTTCTTTGCGTCACCCTGTGCCCCCGTATCCCTGACAGAGCGAGGTCGCGTGTTTTGAGAGGCTTTTGCAGTGCCTCGACCACAAGAATCGGCTTCGACTGTTGAAGAAGCTTGAGGGGTTTTAGCCCCCTTGACACAAGTTCTACGACGGTGAGTTGAAGGCAGCGTGAAACTAGGTCCATATTTTGCATTTCGTCCAGTGGCACTAGCGTTTCGGCTTATGAGTGCTGAGCTAGTTGCTCGCGTTTCTCGGTTTGTTATTTTTTCTTCAACAACGTGCGTATTTAGGGAGGGTTGCTCATCCCGACCATGCTTACCGTTCCGAGTCAATACCGAACTTTGAAGAGCTTTATACTTGATTGCAGACCGGTTGCTTTCAGCATCTCCACTTGTTCGAATAGTTCTAGGAGTCTTGGGAGTTTCAGTGGCATCTAGACTGAGGCAAAGCCCCGTTTTGCACGATAGCATTACTTCTCGTGAACATCTCGTAGCCTGAGCTGTATCAGTGGTCCGAGCAGATCTGACGTTCCCAGCTGTTTTTAAATGTTGAGGTAATTGGGCCTTTTGAGAAATACCGATGCGCAGATGGCTTGCAGGTCTGGCGACTGGGGTATAATTAATGTTCCTTTTATGACCTCCATTCTGAGCCTGTTCCGTTACCACAGCTGGCTCTGTATCTGGATCGTTTCTCCTTCTTTGATTAAACACCAAAATTGGTGCACGGTTTGAGTCGCTAAAATGCCTCCTGTCTTGGACTAGATGCGGCCCTCTCATTTTTACGGCGCCTAATATCTGAGCAGCTTTCGTAGGTTTAAGCTGTGAAAAACTTGGAGTATCCGTATTTCCTACCATAGATATCGTTTGTGCAATGTTTTTCTTGGATAAGGACCGGCGGTCTACCTTCCTGATAGGTTTGGTCGTTTGAACAATAGCTTCTTTTAAAACAGTCGCCTTTTGAACTGACACAGCTTCGGTATTCTTTATGCTTCCGCACAAACCTACTGTAGCTAGTGTTACTCTTTGTCCTGAAACACCACCTACGGCTTTTGCTTGCACCAAAAGTTTAGAAATTTGATCTGGTGTTACCTCGCCAACTCCTTTGTCAGGATCGGGGAGAATGTTGGGTTTAGCAGCATTTTCTAGTTGCCCCCTATCCATATACTGATTAAAGTTTAATACAGCTGCCTTCGCTCGTTGTTTAACGGATTCAGAGTTCGTCGTAGCTGCAGTATCGCTGCCAGCAACTACTGAGTCGCAAGCTCCTAATAACGCATTCACTCCACCTGTGACAACCTCCGATCGATCATCCGTTGCTACATTATTGAGAACTTCCGATCTTTTTCTAGCACCCGTCTGTGACACGAGCGTCTGGCCTTCCTTTAATTCCTGTTTCCCTATAGGACCCATCACTGAATCGGTTTTAACTCCGCCTGGTGATTGGTTGTTTCTTCAGGGTTTCGCATACTTCAAAAGTATTTTCTCACGTTGCTTGCTGGTAGAGCTGCTGTCTGCAACGTACGATTCTTAAACAAATTCCCAAAAATATTAACTATTAAACATTCGTATTAAAAAGCCATTAAATAGCATTTGACCTGCTATTTTACTATATTTGGTAGACAGCTGTTGGAAACGGAGGAACTGCTTTACACCTTTCATGAAATCTATGTTACATAGTTAATCTAGGCACTCAGCCACTTGAAAGCTTAATGTTGCACACGTAGCGGTTCTAAAGGTTCAATATTGCCCCACTAGAATCCTTGCCCCATCGTGCACAAATATAACAAGACTTAGAATGTTCATTTCGGGCAAGAGTTTCCGTACAATCGATTTTAATTAAAACACAGTCTCCGCTTACGGTTAAGTGTGAGGCGTCATTTGGTGACATGCCGCGTTGGATCTTTAGCTAATACTCCGTAATTTCTCCCATTGTGTTTCACAAGCAACAATTGATTTCTCGTTGCTCCTAGCCTTCCTAGAAATTTCTATGAACTACACTGATTTATGTCAGGTACTAGCTTATCTTTCTCAACAAATTCACAGGTTCCATCCCGTGGTTAATGTGCGACAATTACAACTTATCGCCTTCACCGACCTTCAATCGATATACATCGTCATTGATCGTAAAATAGGTAGAAACCTACCAGTTGCCGCCAGCCTAGATGGCTAGGCTCTCACGCACTTCAGTGCTCAAACCTCTCCACCTGAAGCTAGCAACCCGCACGTCGTTATCTGAAAGCAAAATACATTAAGAACGTCATATGAGTGGAGAGGAACGACTCCCTTTACCTGCTAATTACTAGTTATAATTACTACTGGTTTGATATTAGCCCCACAGCACGATCTATAAGCAACCTGGAGGATGCTAGGTCGTAGACTTATTTGTTTTTCATAGCTCTGCTTATTTAAAACCTGTACATCGACAAGCTGTTTGTTATGGAGGATGGTGTTTGATTAGTTAACAATAGTGAGGCCAAAGCACCATCTAATTTTGTAAAGCTATTAAGTTTTTTTTTTATTAAGTTTTTATTTTTACCATGCCGCTTGCATTAGTAAGCGATGTCCTACCGTAAAGCGAAATATATAGAACCGTATGATTTGTGCTGGGTTCGGGGCATCACAAAGGGATCTAATTTTTCTCTCTGGTTCTCAATAACTCTGAGGTCTAAGATAGAAGTAACATAAAATCCTTGCTGAATGTCAACAATTATTGGCACGGCGTTATTCTCATACGTTTTTCTCCGTTAAAGTCACGGTGCTTAATTTGCGTTTCTCTTAGCTAAACAGAGTCCCTGATTAATAACAATTTTTGCCTGTCGAAATGCCACTTTACAGTAAGTAGCATAATCAAAAATAAATATATTCACAATATTAAATCTCCTAGACTGCGTATCCTAAGATTTTTTTACGCGTTCTGTGTTGAAATAACGAAGCACTAGTGATTGTAACCGGCTACCAATACACGTGATCTTGTAGTCCGTGGAGGAAGTGCGCAGTTACTTACGAGCCTATAGGGGTGAGCGAAGTTAGCATTCTTAATGAAAACGCAGTATTATCTCTTATTATTTATATATTGTCTGTATGAACTATCTATGCCATATCTATCGATTCTATTTAAAAGTCGAGGGATATGGCAGGTTAAGACGTCGTAAAACTGCTTGTTTCTAGTGTAGGTATTAAACTTGCGCAATTAGTTCGTGAGCATTAAAGAATCCGTGGCACTGATCAGGTCTGCTAGGAGGAATTTTCAACGAAAATCAGAACTATTTTGGAGCAGTGACGATCAATAGCAAAGGTAAAATCTAACTTAGCTGAACCTTATGCATTATGTAGCTTTGGTACTGCGTTCTCGGATTCACTGGTAATTTTTCTTCGCCTTTAATCCAGATCTAGCAGAATATTTCTCCTCATTACATAACAGCCACAGAGTAACGAGAAAAAAAAATTTGTAAATTTGTATTGTAGGATATGAATCAACGCACAGATACAAACGCGCAGCAAAACAGGCCACGCAAAGCAATTCAGGTGCATATAATAGATTACGCCATCCATTACAACGATAGATATTGAAATTAAATTGGTGCTTATGGATCAGGTAGGTGGTGTCGATCGCACAGCGACGGAGCTTTGCGTTCGATCTTCAGCTTGCAGCTTATTTATAATCAGCTTACCGTACAGCTGCGTTCCACCAGAGTTTATTGTACTAACCTCCTACCCGGAATACGTTCGAAATCGTCCTCTACGTAATACTATCAGCGAACGAAATAGCAGAAATATTTCTATGAAGATAGCAATTGCGTTGTTTCGCTTTCATTCCAGTAATGTGCAGAATCTATGCCTGCTAGCTGGTTCTGGTCTACCAAGACGCTCTAAGATGCTTCAGGGGTTGTAAAAGGTAAGTTCGGTAGAAATTGATGGGCTCACTTTGCACAATCGTCTGAGACATGAGAACGGAAAGACTTATCGGAAGAGTTACACTACATGTTTGATGAGCCTTAATATTCCGAAAGAAGGTAAGTCATAATCTTTCTCATAGAAGCGTTTTCCTAGTGAAGAACTAAGCAATCTCGATGCTGTGCTCAAAGAAAAACGGCCATTTCACGAACGGGTGATCGAAGTTCCTAGTGATTTATCATCGCTACTAGATCGGTAATTATCACGGTTTCAATGAATGTACCAATTGGGGACGCTGATCGTCGATGCCCGCGTCGTTGCAGTGAAACATCTATTGCAAAGGCTTAACCCATCGAACAATAAGTCAATCAGCGTATGTATAGGAAGCGACCTAAAAATGCCATTGGACTTAGCCCTCTAATTTTCAGAAAAGGAAAAGTGTTAGCTAGGATACTTCAGCTTCCGCTTTTAAGTGAAAGCGGAATAATTTCGTATGAAAACATGAAAAACTAACATAGGGATGGCTCAGGTTCTAACAGTTTAGAACCTACCGTCTTGAAGCTTTTCGTGCCAAGAGAATCCAATTCCATCGGTAGGCGCCCTGCTGATCCAGTTGTTACAGAAGTTCCTCAAATAGCAGGGTTTCGCAGCATTAGGCATCTAGGAGTGTAGGGCAATTCAGCGAAAATAGAACACGTACGACAAGCATAGCATTAGTGATGGAAAAAGCCGGCGATCGTTTACAATGATTAATTCGTTCAAAGAACGGCGTCACGTGAGGTACGGGTTCCATTGGAGAAATTAAAGACAAGCACGTACTCTATTTCGGGGCAAAGATAGGATATTTGCAAGCATTCCATTGTTCAGAACTGGTCGATAGGCTTCGTGGACTCGAGTTTGTCGTGTCGTGGCAAACCGACACTGCGGAAATTCAATCTGGGACCAGGAAGCGCTACCCGACGAGCGTGTGGTCATGCTAGAAAAACGCGAAAATGTGCCAGAAGAGCATGGTAAAAAAGTTGGAACGCAAAACATAAAAACTGAAGTAAATGTGCACGAGCTACAATGAAGCAACGCTTGTGCCAACAAACGGGCCGAAAAACGGAGATGGTCAAAAAATAACATGGAGCGAAGCTGAATAAACCCAAAGTTAAAAAAAATTGGAAAAAAAACGCCAGATAGTGAAGCGTATTACCATTAAAAAGTTTGTTTTGTATTTGATGATATGGCCACAGTTATCGATACATTTTCAAGAGGTACTAGTACTGCAGAAGAGGAAATCATCGAAGATGCGTCTAAGAGATTATCTATAGGGAAAAAAAGTAGAGCGGGCGAGTTCAAAGGAAGGAGGATCCTAAGTCTTGAAACGAATCCGGTTCGGGTTATGTCAAAATCGCAAGCTCTGCACGATGTATGTGCACGCTTTTCGACGAGCGCATTTTATGGACGCATTTGTTAAAATGCGTTAATACAGTGTAAATAAGGGAACGTTTGAGTGGTATTTATGTAACAAGTCATTTTGTTGATACGCACGTGTTTATAAGGAATACAAATCCCTCGCATATCATTTTCAGAGGACGAAAGGTACATCTAGAAAATGATTATCCTGGAAATAACAACCCGTTAAGGGAAAAATTAGGACCTCAAACAGCTCATCTCTAACAAAACCGAAATAACGGACTGGGTTCTTCAAGCAAGCTTTCCACAGGATGTCGACTATTGCGTAAAATCATATTTATTCGGTTCTTCATCAATCATATTTATTCGATATTCATTCGAATAAAGTGCCACGTACTTTGACAAGCTAAACGTTCCGCAAGAAATACCTCTTCTACAAACTAGATTCATCTAGGCACGCGAAGCCTATTTAAAGTTGTTAGCTCTATCAATGGAAGCCAATCTTGAACGACAAACCTTAATTTCGTAGCTTATGGCGTTGCTAGGATCTCGGCAGGTCGTGGCCAGATCTCGGCGTTTCATGATTCAGGAACTATTAGCTGATCTGGTGACCTGATTCGAGCGCTGAGATAGCTTGATATTTCGAATTCAAGATGAATCAATGCACTTAGCGTCGTTTTAGGTAGCTTATAGGATGCGTGGAAGCCTTTAAAAGAAATTTTTTTTTCCTTCCCAAAATTCCCAAAATTTTAGTCCTTCTCGAGCAGACATAGCCGCGTCTATCTACACAGCAGAAACCGCATTACGGTACTCCTTCACGACCCATTGTTTTCAGGACTACCGTCGAGGCAAGAATTTTCGATGGAAAAGTGCATAAGCGTGATCTAATATTTGTATGCCATATGCCAGTGTTTCGAATGACTTTGGTCTTCGATTTACAAGAAAATCGATGAGTTTTCCGTCCAACCTGTTACTCCAGACATCAATCTCGTAATGTAATGTAGTGTAAGAGTCCTTTTGCTAAAGTGAACCGAGAGTCTTCAGAAGTGCAGAATTTGTTTGGCGCTAAAAGTTGGGACCGTAATATATAATAAAAAAAAAAAATGAAATATTGCTGATTGCGTATCGATTTATATAAAGGAAGTATCATGGATGTTAGTCATATTTATTTGAGGTACTAATGCAGCTTTCAGTGTACGGCACGCGTACATTAGAACAACGGCTAATCGAAAGAACAGAGTGCTTGCAGCACAAACTACATCCCACAATGTCTTTGATAGCACATCGTACCTTGAGATTATCCGTATCGACTTACCGATAAGCTATAATTGCAATATAATAGAACATGCTTTATAATTTAATTGCCCTAATAAATAATAATTTTCAAAGTGCAAATTCTCCATTCAGGTTTCGTTATCGTTGTCAGGTCTTCTGACGTAGACATGTCAATGTTAGGGTAAAGCGTTCCCGTAATATCGGAACGTCCTTAACTTGCGTGTCTTTTCATGCGTGGCTATCTGCCGGAAAACTATCAGGTGTTTAGACTTACCGGATCATTACGTTTTATAATCAAAGGATCTAGGCAGCGGTTCTGCATATTTACACAGCTGCAAATGCTGTCACCTTTTGCTTCTCTATAGATTGACATGTCCGTATTGGACTGACAATATGCGTACGTAAGACTAAGCTATTCTGCCGGTTTCCAATGAATTGGAACCAACAGGATTGAAATCTCTGAAAGGTCTCGCCCCAGTGGGTTAGAGTGAAACAAATCCACGGTGTCGCAATTCGTTTTGAACCCTTTACGTAACTCTGAATCAAGCGATTTGGTCAAAGCGGTTTGATTAAATAGGTATACCTTATCCAAAGGTTCGATATAAAAAAAGGTTCGAAAAATTTTGCGCGTAACCGTACTTTCGTTTTCGGCACAGCGTAGTTAATCAGGCGCGTCAATATGGACACTCAATCAACATTTCTTGGGCAACATTGGATCTGATTACCCGCGAACAAACACAAAATACGAAATACATAACGTAACGGCATCTAATACAAGCGTCCGTTAGAACAAAGTTCTTGGACCCGATTTAAACCAGAACTTACTTTAACAACAGCCTCAATCTCACGCCGTATCAAACGATTTTATTCAGTTCTTATCTGCAAAGTGGTAAATTTCAAGTTTAATGGTGCTAAATCCTGCTCTGGATGATACCGAAAAGCGAAAAAAGATCTGGTGATGAGTTATTGGCCACGATTTGAGAAAACCAAGATTATATACGTATGGTCCTTATCAGAAGTCTATAATCAGTTCTTGAACATTCATAATTGCTTTTCCTAAAGAACATCCAAGAGATCCTCGACCTAATCGCTCTACGTTTAAAACCTGATCGACCTTGCTTGGAAAGAGTCAGCGTCCTTTTTTGAAATAGACCGAAGTACTATATCGTCGGTTAGGTGCTGTCTTCATTGATTTTTATCCACACTGGACATAGCTGCCGCAAGGGTTCTGGGGGCTTTGAAATTTTCTCAGCTCGAAATGCCGTTAAGTAAGCAAAGATGTCTGGCCTGCACGCCGCAAGAGTTCGTCGGGCATTCGATTAACTTACGCGAGACAGACAGATTTTGTAATATCAAAACTGTATAGCCCATTTGAACTTACAAAACCCTACAATAAAGCCATTTGAACGTATTCAAATTGCTTCCTCTCACATTTCGATTTGATCTGCTCTTCGCATGCGGGCTACCCCAAAAAAACAATCTTTCGTATATGCATACTCCTGTTTGGAGCAGAGTTTATTTACGATAGTCAAAGCACTTGCTACACAAAAGCCTTCAACTTCAAACTCGAGGCAACCTGTCAGCATGATGTAGACAAAAACACTACCACATGAACATTAATGCTACAGGTCGCGTACGTCTCTGACCCGCATCCCTCCGTGTGTGCTGCGGATGTTCTCCAGTAGATTCAGTATCTGTTGACCTATCGCTTTGCTAGTATCATTTCAGGACAGCCCCCGTCATAGCTTAATGGGTAATGTATTTGCCTACTAACCTTAAGGATACGATACCGTACGTAAAACTGCATAAAGAAGCATAATGCTTAATCTTCTTCTTAAAATGCCCGTTCAAGCAGCCCCAGGCAATCTTGCAGAGGCGTGCCGATCGATAGTTTCGACAGTCTACGACAGTTTGTTGTAAGTGAATTGTGCTAGCTAACAGCAGGCTCAGCTCGAGCCAAAAGCGCGCAGCGGTGGAGAAGACCACGATTGAAAAACAGCGGAGGCGGCCCGAACCTTGCAGGACGTCACGTCGTTCAAACTATAGACCGTCTGTCCACACTGACGGCAATTTGGAGATGCGTCATCAGACTGCAAAGACTCTGCAGAACCCTAAATTAGACTCCTAGCAGTAAAGCGGCTGCCGCCGCCTGCTGCTCTTGTTGTTGATGTTGTTGTTGTTATCCGTTATACTGCTACCATATGAGCAATGGTGATGTCAGTCAACGATACATGTACTGCTGAAATTGCCTTCACTCAGTGACTCTCGTACGAGTAGTTACGAAGTGGACAAGAAAACTGTTGCACCGTAGGGCTGCGCTATTTTTTTTTAGCTGCTTCACCTCCGCCACAATTGCCATCCTCTGCTTATCTGCGTGACAGAGGAGAAGTCTGCCGGTAATATTGAAGACGTGAAGCAGATGTTTTCCATCCTGCTAGGGTTTTCTCGGTGTAGAGGCTCAAAAATTGACGATCTGAGGGAGGGGTCAAACAAAACGACGATTGTTGAAGAAGCTGGGAAGGATAAAACTGGAGCAGATGGAAAGTTACTATTGGAGAACAAGCAACAAACACTCTCCTTTAGAGGAAACTAGAGTCGGTGATAGAAGCAATTTAACCTAGGATAACCGGCTGATGATGGCGCTAACCAAGCACCGGTGTTTAAAAGAAACAAGTACTGCAACGGAAAGTGTGCTATTTGACATACTTGCATCTCGCGCAGCAGCCCGAGGGAGTGAGAAATACATCGTAGCCCTAAGCTCGTTTTTCAGCGGAGACAAACCGGTCAACTTAGTGGCTCTTGCTAAGTTGTAAAGCGTTGGAAGTCCATGGTGTGCCCCGGCAAAGATAACTAGGCTTCGCTGAAACGTAATTCGAATTTACTTAGCCTATCATAAGTTCAAGATTGACAAATGGCTGCGAATATATATGGCGCGGATAGCCATGGTGCAAACAGATCAGTGAATTATCTCGCTTATTATGAATATCATCAATTGCGAAATATTACATTGTCTCCACTTCAGTGTGCTATTGCTGACATGCATAGTGTGATACCTTTGAGAATGTAAAACAACTAGTAGCCGTTAACAAGGACGCATGAAGGATCAGTTCACTCATATGGTCAGTCCTTTCTCTGCATTGATTATATTTTTACAGCTGTAAATCACCCGGATTCAACACCGTAGTTGAATATGCATGCTTTTTGATGGATTTTTCCACGTAGTCGCAGAAATATATATTTTGCATGGTAGTGTTGCGAGTGCCTTGTCCTAGTAAATGGCAGGGTGAGCCTACCAAATGTATTTCTATTTAAGCACGTAAATATTCGTTATCGAGAAAGGTAAATGTCTGTTTGAATCGACTGAGCCGCAGACAATCAAATATTTACAGGTATTCAGAGCCTATAAGTTTCAATGCATGCACAGGTGGTACCTTTTATCACTGTTTGTTTAGTTAACTGTTTAAAGAGCCGTACGGCATATACGGCTGTACTCAGTTTTAATTTATTTATGGTGGTAGATTTTTAATTTATGGCCCTATGAGATTACGATACTTTAAGCTTAATTTATTAATGGCTACGTTTATTAAACGATGGCTAGAGCCTTTTTTAGCCACATGGCTGAGTATGCGTATGTACCAAGGTATGTTTTTTGCCTTTAGTGCTGTGACAAACTTCGCTCCATTACGATTAAGCAGCATAAACAAAGAGCACGATCAATATACTGAGAAGTATGCTAAGATTATAAATAACCCATACTTAACGACTAGTGGCTCGAAATGCGCCTCGTGGCTTCAAGCAGACCCATGTATCGATTAATCTATTGATAGAGTATAGTGAAATTTCTTGTATATAACGTTATAATGCTTGTCAAAGCGAAACAAACAAATAAATTCAACAAAAATTATGCAACTACTTCGTATTGATTCATAATATCTCAATCCTAAAGTATCACGAATCACTGGAAAAATTTGGAGCTTTTTTATTGTTGTTTTCTAATCGAATATTAAACATTTTTTTATGGATGTAGTGACCTACGCACGTAGCTTCCCTACGCACACCAAGTCTCTACAAAAAAGATTTCGACAAGCGTACGAAAGCTATTCATCCATCATGAATGTACTTACACGCACGCAAGGTCCTTCCCTCTCCTCTGCGCCATGTCAGCAAATATTGAGATAATTAGGAAATCTAACGTATGCCAGGCCGAGCTCATTGATTAACCCTGCATAGCGTAGCATTCGGTTCTGTATATGTTAAATAGCGGGAATCGGATAAACGTAACCCAAGAAGCGGTCTGGGTAGATGGTACGCGACGTTACCAACAGGGCGGACGCATAGCCGATTTGAATTGTCAATTTAGTGAAATAGCTAATATAGTGAATTCTTCAGGATCAACGCATTTTGTATGTAGGCGTACGAAAGACACACGTACGCGGTGAGCGTTTTTTTATTTATTTATGGAAAAAGTTCCTCAGCGAATGCTGGCGTAAAATGTACTAAAATCAAAAGCACGTACAGTGTTTTGTTGCTGTTGCTCCATTTATATTAGTGGCCATTTGCGATTAAGTATATAAATGAAAGAAATACGGTGGCCCGAAGCGCAGGTACATTCGCGTCTTCATTGGCAGATCGTTCCCTAGTGAAAACATTACCCTTAAAAAAGCAGCTAAATTATTTACTTAACAGGAGACGATGCATATCACAATCAACGGACTGCAGCACTGATCGTCAAACCACCTCAGTCAGATTCGACTCGGCTTCAAAAAGCAAGTCACTGATATCTCTCACGGCAGTTCGCCATATAATAACGCAAATCTTCTGATTCTTCAATAAATACATTGCCTCATCGATGTATGCCATTAACCAGCTGGCGGAAAGCGAATTGCCTTCTTTTAATTGAGGAAGCGCTGTGTCTCGTCAGCAGGTAGACAGACGCGTGCTAAATAAGTCTCTTTTGATCCCCAGATTATTGCTGCTCCTGCCCTGAAACGAATGACATGAGATTACCCATCGGCACTGTCAGGAGCGACGTCATTATAACAGAGACCAGAGACAGACGCTATACCCAATAAAGCTCTCCGTTGCTGCCTGTGTCACTCCTCGATCCCTGAATTCATCAGTTCTGTTCCTAGACTGTGTGCTCCTTACTGTTGCCTTGGCTTGCACTTGACGTTTGACTTCGTCCGTTCTTAGTTCTTCTGCGTCATTCTGCTCACACATTGGCGTCCGTCCTTGCTCTATTCTGCGTCATCATTATACGTTCGTTCGATGTCGGTAAATCGGATCGGCATTTCTTTTCATCAGTAAGCAGGAAACAACAGATCTAGTTTGCTTGGCAACGGCTGCTAGAAGTAGCGGGAAACAGCAGACGGGCCGATAGATACGAGTAGTAGTTTAGTTCGACCGTGGGGGTGCGATACGAGCCTAATATATTTGTAAATAGCAAATTCTGCTCCGGAGTACTTCGAAATAGAACGAGGGTCTATTCTCACATCCATCGGAGCAGTGCACCACAAATATACTTGCTTTCTCCGTTCCGCTTGCAGTAGATTGCAAGATTATCTAAGAAGAGAGATATCGGGTCTTTCACGGGCCTTCATTCTTGCGATGCCGTGTGGGGTCTAGGGCCACTGAGGATGTTCCAGTTCGATCAGTTGATCGAGACCATCCATAGGAGCATAGCCTAGGTAATAACTGTATTACAACAAGGCCCTCTCGAACATGATTAACATTCTTCTTTTGTTTCAGTATCAGACCTTTGTATTGGTTATGCTCATGTCATTGGGAAGTCACCTTCGAAGAAATGTGTAGGTGTTGTCATTGGTCCTTTCTGATACCTACTTCGTCGCTTCACTCTGCTTGGAAGTTTGTGGCTTTCACACACTGTGCTCTTCACGGAGCAATGGAGCGGCAATACGCATGCAAGCTTTTGAAAACTTTATCACAGCTTAAATTAACGGGCGAAGCAACAGCATGAAGGGACGTAAACTAGATTTATTTTTTAGCACGCGAACAGCGACAAATGTCTCCAGATATTCAGTTAAGCGATTCCTCTCCTATGAAAATTAAACTTAATATTTTTGGCCAGTGTTTGACCACAGGTATCTCGAAATGTTTTCATAGTAGGAATTCTACTGAGGCAAGCCCTTATGCTTAGGTAGGAGAGAATAGCTACGCGTATCGAAACTTCTACCCATTTTATCAGATTTATTTTCTGAATTTCACTAGTCTTCTTATTAAAAAAAAAAGTGAGCTCATTGGAAAGACTGTTACAAAGTAAAAGAAATACCAAATCTTATAAATAGTAAAAAAGACTTTGGTAAATTGCATGTCACGGTGTTTTGCATAAGGTATTTTAAAATCAGGAAAGAATATGTTTCTCGAAACTTCAGGAGTTCTTGAAACGTTTTCACAGATCTCGAACTATGAAACTTATGTAGCATATATCCTAGTAGCATGACTGTTTCGTACGTAAATGTTGGTCAAGAAAAGAAAGATGATGAAAAACGTGTAGTTACTGAAAAGCCACACGCAGGTAAACATTCCATTATGTATCAATATTATTACATTTTGGCTAAGCGATAAAAGAGATGTCAAATAATAAAAGATATAAAGTGATTTAAGTAACAAGGTGATTGTAGTGATATTTACAAAACAAAGCGGAATTAGGTTCCCTTTAATAGAGAAGACAAGCTTATGTCGAGACGACGAAAACAACCAGGTTAGCACTTACTTTGGTTTTAGGATTTAGTATTTGTATTGTTTTCTAGTATATTTGCGGCAGAATATTTCCATACATCAATATTTTCTGCGATAAATCAAGAAAGAAGAAGAAAAGTGATTAGTTAGTCGCCAGGTGTGAGCTGCTCGATGCAAATTTATCGTTTGATAGCGTCAAATCAGGCGTAACCGTTTCTCTTGGGCTTTGGTATCGCACCCGTTGTTTTTCTCGGTCACAGGTCCCTTCAACGTTTTGTCGTATTCGTGTATCCCTTGCCAGGAATACTCTGAAGATAAGTACTAGAAGCATCAATAAGTGTTACGAATGCAATGCTACCAACGCCTAATTTTCGAACATTGACAAGGCTCATTTGCAGCAAAAGTTTTTTTCGTTGTCATAGACCGCAGAACTCACCGAATGAAAGATCCGACGTTCTAGCCCTTTTTTTAGCGCTCTCACCCTGTGTACCTAGAGATAACGTTGAGTTCCGGGTACCCTATAACATAAGAGCTAATGAAACACCTAATGGAATACGTGTGCATGCACACATCGTTTCGTCGCAAATATGAAACACAAAAAAATCAGAAATGTGTTTAACACCCGGTGTTCGTGTAGTTTCCTAGAGCTAAGAGATCTAGCAGACGCTAAAAAGAGCACACCCGATATTTTGTTGATGTACCCATCCTATCCTGCTAAATCCCAAGAGCCATACTACTACTACTAATATTACGACTGTCCCCCTCCCCTCGGCCCGCAGCCTTACCTTTTGCACATGAAACTTTACCGGCAGACAGCAAGACCAGTTAAGACAAGGCGTCGTAAACGCATTAAGCTGTCGGTACCCTTCCGCAATCGCTACCCTCCGCGATTTGGCGTTGAATTACACTGAACATTACGAACCCGAGGGTCTCATGATTTTTTCTTGCTTTTCGCCATTTCCGGCTCGAATAGACGATCCCATTCACTGCGAACCCAGGAATCCGCAATATACAGTCATCTAAGTAAAAACAGCAGTGGCGGCCACCAGAGCAGTGAAGACTGCGCAGCACAAGCAAGTAAGAAATCCTATATTCGTCATGTTCGCCAAGCGATGCGCGGCAGCGCTGAACGGAACTAAACAAGCCACAGTGAAAAAAGAGACTAGCTTTTCGGAGAAGGTCGATTCTCGCTTTAACGTTACTACAAACTATATCGGTACGTTTTGTAGCTCAATGTGTCTTTATATTGCATACCGCAATGGACCAGTTCTTATGGCAATGGCTTCAAAGCTACTGGGTGGCTGGCCGACTGCTCGGACGATGCGGGTTGCAGCCTCATCGTCCAGGGTGGTTATTTATGAAGATGGCTACAAGAAATGCTTATCCGGATTTCTTCGAGGATCACTCCCGAGGGAGCAGTGTGCCGACGGTGTACCTTCGTGCCTTCCAGCGAGGCGTCGCATCGTCAGCTTCTGCCATTCATCGTTTACCCTTCCCCGCTTTTCTATTTTCCGCCCCACTCACCGCCGATATGCAATAGGAGATCCGTTTTTCTTTGCGTTGAGCTATACAGAGGGAGAAAATAGCTTACATACTTGCAACAAGAGATCCCGCACTCATACTGACTTAAATAGACTGCAAGTGTTTTCAGATAGACATTATTATTTGAAGTACCCCGTTGTACTACTTTGTTCTCTATATCCTTTCTTGGCAGGTCCGAGAATTTCATTGCGTTCTGCGTTTGAGGCGCTATTAACATGTTTAAAGTGGATTGAAAGCTATTTACTTATAGGTGATGAGTTCGGTGTAACGACCATTTAAGGTTCCCATTAAGTATTTCACACCGAATATATATATATATATATATATATAAGCTCTTTCTAGGAAGAGAAAGCTTTTATTCGACATGGAGCAAGGGGAAGCTAAATAACTTTATTGACGCTAGCAGAACTACGTAAAAGGCAACGGCTTAAATCCGATCCCAGGTATTATTCATCATTAACACGAAAATCTAGTCGACGGTTCTGACTTTCTTGTTCAGCTTCTCTCACAGCTTCTTCTTTGGCCTCGCGCACATCGCCACCCACTCTGTCCTCGACTTCCGAACATCCATAACCTTCTACGACGTTACTCCTTGTGCTTCTTCCCGGTGTAGACGTTGAGACAGTAGCTGATGGCTTCCCGATTTTTGTCGAGGCAAACTGCTCTTTGAGACAACTATTCTCAATCGCAAGTTTTTGACTGATGTCTTTGTACTGTTCAAGAATCAGCATTCGTTGACGATTCTGCTCTCGTTCCTTCGCTTGAATGCGCATCATTTGTTCCATTGCAGCTCGTGCGCGGCTTCCAGCTTCAACTGCCTCGGTAAGTTTTGCAAAACATATCATTTTTAAGCCATGCTCAACTGCCTCAAGATCATTCATCACCGATTCTTGATTGTCTAATGCGGTCGCTGGCATATGTGCCCCAGCGAGCATACGGCGTAGCCATGCCTCTTCCGGACGGGCGTCAGAATCAGCCGAGGCTGACGAATCCCCACCGTAGGTGCTCGTCCACTCCGACGAGCCGGACGTCGCACGGCTTCGTGCTCCCTGCTCTGCCGACCCGTCTTCGCGAAAGATATCGACAGAAAGGTAAACATACAAATCATTATTCAAAAATCTGCACAAAAGGCCAGATTAGAACCACAAAGAACTAATCATACCTTACATTGTTTACTATAGAAGTATACTAGGGTTCTACTCGCACCGGACGCCAACGCATCAGGTGAATCAACATGAACATATGTATAAACTAACCTACCGTTAGAAGCGAGGGCGGATCTCACGGACTCGCGTATGCCCTCCATTGCTGCTTTGGCTACTTCAATGAATAGTGATAGAAACAGTAAAAATCGCAAGTAAGTCTATATATTTACACAGCTGTGGTGTTAACAATACGTCTCAAATTCTTCTCTAGACATGATTTACTCATAATTCATTTGAAACCCCATTACTTTTCAAGGAGACAAATTCATAGGGGAAACGCGGTGTTTCTATAGTTCGTGCACTAAAAGTAGATTCTGACCGCTTCTGCTGGGAGACGTCTTGGTCTGTTTCTTATGAGAATAGTCTATAATCTATGCATTCGAAGAAACGAAGCTAAAGGGGTGAGCGGTGTTTGTTGGTGTTGCGCAAATCCGTTGATGGCAGCGCCTGAGAAGTCTGCTGTTTCTTTATTGAATTTTATGGAGCTTAATAGGATTTCCTATGATCTGCTGTTAGTACTTCAGCATGTAAAATAACCAAACTTACTGAGGGGTTGTTTGTCAGATTTGTCAAACCTACGGTCCAAACAGCCGGCCCATCTTCAAGTACGTTCAAGACGGGCTTTAGTAGCCAAAAATCGAAGTACGTAAAGCGACCGTATGGCATTTCTCAAGCTAAACGGACATGTGCATAGAAGTTCGTACGCCACGTTTTCGCTAGAAGGAAATCTCGCCATATTTGTTGAGACGCTATTTCACTGTTACTCTTTCAATTCAACCTAGAATCAACGACCGCGTGTTGAAAAAATGGAACTCATTTAGAAAAAAATTCTTACCAAAAGGTGAAATGACGTTCGGCGAATATTTATCTATTGCCCCAACATAGATAATTATCTACCTGTAATACAATATCCAAAACAGAGCTTTCAGTTAAGCCTTACATTTAATATAGAAGGGTCTCACAAATTATGTTCATTTTAATAATCCGGAACTTGGAATTTTTCTACACACAGTACAGGGAGTCGGCAGTTAAATGGAGCAGACTGTCAAAATAGCTTGAATAATTACTATAAGATCGGCGGATCATCAATGAATTTAATTTTTTCTAGTTCGCAGCTTCGAAAACACAAAAGACAGCGTATGTTCGAATCAATATTGGGCTGTATTGTAAAAAATATGGCTACTTTTTTCGCATTCATTTAGCATCTTAGCATACACATGCTGGCCAAGCTAAAACCAACGTAGTATTAGACGATTAGGAAATAATGGGCTTGTAGGGTTATCAGCAAGCTTTGCAGTAAACGACGCCAAAAATAGAGTGAGAAAAAAGCGACATTTATATACTAAAACTGCACGTCAGCCATCCGGCTACATGTGTATGTGGCTACAACATGGGTAAAATGTAGCTCTAATAATAATAATAACGAGAGAATAGCTTCCCTTTATCCGGCTTGTCGGTTCGTAATCGTAGAGGCGAATTCGCCAGAGATAAAGCGATGGTTTGACTCAGCAGGGAAATACAATGGACCAGTTTTGTTCCGTTGTGTCTTCTATGGTCCGTCGTGTTATAATGGGGCCTATTTTTGGAGAAGCGAGAGAAGGCCAGGGAACGCTTATTCAATTGTCGCTGCTCAGCAGGGCGAAAGGGTCGAGTTTCGTCGGAAAAGTGAGAGAGAAAAGACGACAAGCGACATGGACCGAGTGTGATCTATGCGGCCCTCGCTAGCTTTGAGAACTGTTTTGGCGGGCAGCTCATCCGGAATCATTTCCCAGATCTACGTGTCACCCGACTCTGCATAACGTGAATCTATCTAAACCGACAAAAGTGACGCACAAGATACTGACTCCGTTGTTCGTGTCTCAAAAGCATAGCTAGATAGGAAGCTGGAAAAGTATTTGTTAGTAACAAGGAAAGTATATATACATATTTGCCTATACGGATGATGCGTTTTGTCAGCGATTGTAAGATATAAACGAGGCAAGGTAAAAAAAAAAAAAAAAAAGTAGAAACAAAATAACACTTTTACAGAATTAATGGTAAAGTTCTATGAGTGATCTTTATGAATGGCTAATCTAGTAGAAACGATGGGATCGAGCTGCCCATTTTCAACGCTAACCCGTTCTAAAGCTTTAGCTCGTTGGGAGTTTTTATGTAGTTTCCGATTGTCTTAGTGAAAGCTATGCTTATAGAGTATGATCATTTTCACTAGATTACTTTATGGTCATCGCCGGAATTTAACTTCCGTCTGCATAGCGTTGTCGCAAATGCATTAGGTCCTTCGCGTTTTTCTGAAAAACGAGACTAAAAGACAATTTGCCGTAAATCTAATTACGAGTTATCCGGATCCTTCGAAAACTGTAGACAGCTGGAGTAAATTAGTTTACCTCACTACCCTATTAAAGGTTTATAGTAATGTGTAAGAAGAAGGAAGTTTTACGGAAGGCTATCGTTCTCACTTAGGACTTCAAAATATTCTTATGCTGCATACATGAATCGTCATCAGTTCTTCTTTTCTTCTAATGAAATTACATTCTAGGAAGCGCATTGTAATGAATCTACTGAAATATGCGAACTTTTCTTTACTATCCTGCTTCTTCACCATACGAATTATCGATTAATTTCGATTTGAGCTAATATAATCTAGTCACCTAAATGGCGCAAGTATATTACGTTGTAAATTAGCTCGTCCCAGCTTTGCTCTGGGCTGCTAGGATGAGTGTTGGTTAGGCAGAAATTTTGTGTGAGCTAAAAAATTGTATCTGTGTTTTAAAAGCTATTAAAAAAGTAACTATCCTTTGTTTTGAAGCTGAACGTTAATTAAAAGCGAAAGCTCATTAGAATTAGGCGGATCTCGACCGTGTGTAGCGCAGTATGTCTTTTAGTTTCTCTCACACAGAAAATTCTTTACTGGTATAGAGTCTAGCCACATCAACGTCTAGTACGGAATACGATTACGTAAAACCGACTCCTACATAGTCGTTGTTTGAGCTAATTAATAAATCTATTGAACTGTAGAGGTTCAAAAGTGAGGCGAAACATCTTTGCAAACAAACTGATACATGTTAGACACATGTGTGAACTTCGCTTGCGGACTTTAACCGTTGATTTCCTGAATCTAACATCGAGGCAATGTTTCTTAGTTAGATCTTGAGACTTTATAAGAACTCACTGAACGAAGCGCTCAAACGTAGACTAATATCTCAATGAAATATCTTGCTGTTTTTCTCAGGAAAGCCTTTGATACGAGTGTCAGTAAAATGAACTACCCGGCGAAAGTCGCGACGGTGTTCCGGCGAATTTACATACAGCTCGAGGCTTAATCGACTAAGACTGCTGTGTGTGTGACCTTAGACGCTGTGTTTTTAAAAGAACTTTACGAATGTGTATGTTATGTTTCCTCGTTTATTTCTCTGCCGGCTGCGAGTCGTACTGTTCAAGTTAAACCTTAGCAGGATGACCGTTTTCGTTCGTCGTATGTATCATCGACTGCTATTTATCTAATTAAAACGTGGCTTTTCGTCAAAATCGCTTGCGAACTATATGAAAGGCAACCAAGAAGCTATAAACACCTTTGTACACAACTAGCCGGTACTTGTTGTCATCTGTATCATGCTTCTCACTGCCCACAAGCCTGGACACTGGCCAGTCTGGCTTAGAAACTAAGCGAAGAATGGCAGTACGATGCTGTGCGTTGTACAATGCGATCATTGGTAGATTCTAAATAATCCCATAAACCGTAAATCAACTAATTTAGGAATCACAGTTTTCGCCAAGCTCATAAAGGTGTCATGTGTATGATATAGGAGGGTAGAATATAAAGGTTAGTATGCCAAGTTGCTATAAACATTTATATAAGTGCTTGCAGTACTATTTCACAAAGGTGAACCAATGATGGGTAAACTTTGAGCGTAATTTAACGTTGAAGTGCACGGGTGTACATGTACCGTGAAGTCTGTCCGTTTATCAAGCAAATTAATTCAGCCCTACAGATATGTAGACCAAGGTACATATTTTGGATATGAAAGTCGCAAGGTAAAAAGTGTAGTAGAAGCCAAAGCTAGTGAACCCTATTTCTCTAATGAAATCAAGCTCTACGCAGTAGCAGTGCATACGTATGTCGTGGACGCTGCTGTACAATAATGTGTCATCGATAGAAGCTCAAACCTTGCTTACGAAACGCTTTGTCCGGCGAGCTAATGCCTGGATCACCCACAATTTTACTTTTACTTTATGGAAAAAAGCGTGTTATTCATCTTACCGCACCATTCATAAAAACAGACAAATATCTGCTTAAACAAGCCAAGATTCGTCGAAGCGCTAAAGTAGCCACTGTGATGTGTGTGGGTGATTGTGAAACTGGTGGAGACCAAGAGGTCGACTGTTCCTCTGGTTTTGGGAATTGTGTCGTGGGGAGAGATTGATGAGGCCAATTAGCTCCCTCCTTTTAGCCATTCCTTTGCGTCATGGGTCGAAGGCGTCGTGGGCGGACGGCTGAAACCAAGCCAGATTGGTTGCCTGCCCGCTTCCTTTCTTAGCGGCGACTGATGTTTCCTTAGCTCTTGTCAAGGGCTGTTCGGCTCTATCTCTTACCATTGTATCTCCGACGGCTCTAGTCGACCCGACAGTCCCCTCTTTTCCGAACTCCCCTTCCTCTTCCCAAATGCCGCCATTTTCCACTTACCGCACCGTCTCTGCGTCGCCCTATTCCGTAAAAGGGTTAGTCGGAAAGACGTTCACTCAAAGTCTCGGAGGCGTGGCTTGTGCCGTTATTCGTTATACAAGACACTTCTGCTCCTTTACTTTACGTACACAATTTCTCGCGAGTGGGACGAAGTAGCAGTGGTGTGGGACATAGCACATTACATCGATGTGTACGCGTGGCTGCTTTTTTTTAGCACCACATTTAATATGGTGCTCGTCCTTACTCTTTTCTTCCTTATTCCCAAAATTACATTTCTTTTTTGCCCCTGAGAAGGGGTTGAGTAGTACTCTCGACTTTTAGCGATCGTGCCACTCACAGTATAGCAGGAGAATGATCGATGACTACCCGCAGTTACAAGCGTCGTCGATCAGAAAAGCAGCAAACGAAGAAAATATAAAAGAGCAATAAAACGCCGTACACTATGTTAACTGGAATCTATCGATAAAAACTGATCTATTGTTAAGTTGAGAGAGGGAGAGAGAGTGAGAACATTTGAAGAAGAAACAGGGGCTTAGGATGTCAGGAAGAAAGAGCTATTCCACTCCTTGATTCTGCCTTACGTTCGTTACGATGATCCGTGTATTCAAGTATCGATAGTCTCAACAGCTGAAGTTTGTTTTTAGAGAATGGAGAAGGAGCGGATAGTGGGCAAAAGGCGACCGTTACAGCAGGCCATAGGGGTCTTACTGGCTCGAATCGGCTCGACAAGGCGACACAGATCTTATATGATAGCTATACGACTGTGTAGCTGCAGCGGGGACTCGAAGTGCAGTTGATTGAGTGACGAACTCCTTGAGCAGCAAAAAAGCAGTGGGCTCAACGCGAGGGTCCACTGCTGAAGGCAAGGATCTCTTTTTCATCCTTTCCTCATTCCGTCGAACGGACTGTGACGACGAAGGCCTGTAGTACTCCGAAAGCAATTTGTGTCCGGAAATGGAAATGGATTCATAACAAGCTTTTGATGGCAGCGGTCCGCCGACCCCAAGGTCGTTACTACATAGACTATTAGGAGACAGGCAAAGAGCCGCACACACGCGCTGACACACAAGCAGACACCCATAGTCGACCACTCGCCGTACTGTACAGAAGGAGAGACCACTTAGGGATACCTCGGAAATAGCTGCTCCCGCGAGCTATAACGACGAGAACAAAGATGACAAGTAACAGCGAGCAACTCCTGCTGCGGCTTTGGCCAAGCCTGGATGAGGCAGACGAGAACACGCCTTTTACGCTCAACAAACGCAATCGATTTTTTTATGTGGAATAGTTCATTTACGTAACACTATTTAATTGTGCGCAGTGTCTAGGCGCTCGTATTGATCTTGTATGTAAGAACCAGGCAGCAACAAATGCTTGTGTCAAGCTTAAAACTGCGTAGTTACCTAAGGAAGTGTCTAAGAAGAGCTTAGTCAAAGCACAATGGAGATGATTGTGTTCAAAATGGCGTCAACGGCTATTCAAAACGATTATCTTCTTCACGTAGGAAGCAGAGCCGCGTACGAAGTTTTTCAAGATACAACCAACTTCTTTGAGCGTCTTTCCGCGCGTGCATAACTGTTGTAATCAAAGATAGCATAGTTACTTATACAATCCATAAATATACCCATATGTTGTTAATAAGTCTCTTACAGCTCCCCTTTATTGACATAATTTTTTTCAGAGTTCAATAAATTCTTGATTTGGATGGACTATGTCCCTGTGAGCCACTTTTACTCTCAAATGACCCATCATTTTCGAGTAGTTTCACGTACTTCCACGAGTGCACTACAAGCAAAATCCTTAGATAGAGTTTAATTAGACATTTAGAATAAAACCGGTTCATTAAATCTTTTGAGTAAGTTACTTCTTGGATTCAACATATTTCCTGCGCTTTTATCGGCTTCACGTGCTCTTAGTTTCTGAGCCGGTTTTCAAAATATTTGGGAAGTGGCTTTGCAATCGAAGCCTTCGAGGTTGCAACCGCTGATATCGGAAGTAGGTTTTTGTTTTGACATGTAACTCCGTATATCCGCGTCAATGAGTAGCCAAATCGTGTTATGGATCAAAACAACGTTTGCATTCTACTGTAAGGCTAAGAGAATTCAGTCTAAAATGTGACCAACACGTTACTCATAGTCGGTGGCATCCATAAACACTTATACGGTACTGTCATATATGTATGATGCTATTCTGTGAACTCCGATGAAAGAATTTTTGGTTTTCCATAATTCAACGGTCAAGCGCTATGGACAGTTTTAGTACTTAATCAAGCCAGATGGGTATATAAATAAAGGTCGAAAAAATACGGTCAGGTAGCCAGTTTGTTTAGCAATAATCGTGTGCCCTTAACCGTGAACACCGTGAAAGCTGATAGACTTTAAGATGCAGACCTATTCTATATCCAACATTCAAGCTTTAACCACAATGACATATCCCTCTGACAGGATGACTAGCAGCATAAATTGGTATTCTGTGCATTACATCTTCAAACACTAATGATAATTGACGACATCATGGATAAACTATAATGCGTTCAATACCCACTATGCTCCACTGTGATACTGAGGAAACGCAAACACGAGAACGTTTTTGTGATCATGTAAAACGGAAACATTTTGAAGCAAATTTACGTTGCTTGTCCGATGACGCTGCTCGAGCCGCCATCAGCTGTCGCGCGGTAGTGTTTTGTGGCGCGGCCTGCGGCTCGAACGGTCGATGTAACCTTACCCATAAAAATAGAAATGGACGAAGAAAAATCAGGAAAAGGAGGATAAGTAGAAAGAAGCATTATGCCACACGCTCGAATGACATATGTAATTCGATGCATACCCCACCTCCTGCAACTATTGGAACCATCATCTCCGTTGACCGGCAGAAGGCGGCACGTTTAGGACTCCCCCCTGTGATACGTTGCTTTTATGCGCGGCCATTGCCAGCAAGAGAGCGACCGAATGACAGACCTACCGGTTGACCTCGGTGATGTTGCCGTCACATTTGCCTGATTAGATTTACGCAAAAATGTACAGTTGTTCTGGCACCCTGTTAGACGCTGATGTTGCTATCGCTAACACAGGCTGAAAACAAGCCACATAAGAACGCTCTTAAATGGTGGTTTTTGTTGCAGGGACTACTGCGACAGCATTTGGACATGTAGAACGAATATTTCTTAGGTAAACACTTCCTAGGCCAGAGTGTCTCTACGCCTCTAGTGATACGCTAGATACTATTGTCCTGTTGCTCCCTTAGTAACAGATACAGTATTTTTAGATAGAGAAATAAACGAATTATTGTATCCATATGCAAAAACAAACCTCATAGTAATATACACGCATGCAAAAACAAAGAAGCATAGTCGGGTAATAAAATCTACTTAACGGTGTCCTGCACTTTTGAGCTTTGAGAAGAAGATTAGCATTATATAAAGCGCCCAGGTTTTTGTTTACTTTCAGTATATATAGTAGTAATTATTGCCGCGAAATGAATATTAATTAACATGTACGTTCAAATAATAATAATATCCATTATATAGGACATTGTAATAACTTGAACAACGCAAGTTAGCCCTGTGAGTATGTATTAAGCAATAATCATTTGATGCGCTCTCGTGGAGTCCGTATAGATAACAAATCTATCCGTGTTAATTATTTTTTCATCTAAATAAACACCCTCCAGTGAAGCAGGTTCTATTCACCGATACTGTGCGAAACATCCAAAGAACTGATGATACCTTTATGCACTTCCGATTTGCTAGTGAGAAAATCTTCTCTTCTACCACTACGTTGTGCTATTTACCGGCTGTTCATCATCATCTTCTTTTCACGAAGAGGTCTTGTAGGGCGTACAAAGGACACTGTGGATTGGCGACACGACGAGAACTTCATCTCGTGACGAATTAGGCATAGTTGGATCGCTCTACACGAGCGCACAAGTATGATCCAAGTGCCAAGTAAGTGAGCATGAAAGAATGGCGGTTGATTAGTCTGTTACTGGGTTATAAGGTTCAGGGCCGCTCCGATAAGCAAGACTCACCTTTCAGTAAGCGCCATTTTGTTGTACGAAGAAGAAGAACTTCGTTGTATGCATGTGCATACTCACACAGCGGACTACTATCTATAGGCATCGTATGTAAATTCGTATGCACGTGTGCAGGATCTAATAAGAACGCTAGTACTTTTGACCTAATGCTCTCTATTTATCCTTCCAGGAGAAGCGCAGTGGGCACATTTTTTACGGCGGATAATGTTTATTTCATTCAAACATGGAAGCGACCCGTTTACTTTACGGTAATAAGAGCATTAAAAACTAGAAGCTATATGGCTCATTCATAGACATATCTCTTAATAGATAACCAAATTTCGTATATAATCAGCCACAATTGCTTAAATTGCATAGTTTGCATACACTCGTAGATTAGATATTAGCAAATGCTAAAATCTGAGCGCGTACCTACGGCTGACGAGCAAGTGAAGCCTTAGGTTACCTGGTAGAGAATACTGACCAAAGAATAAACATTATATAATGGACTATTTCAGTTCCGTGAAGGGACATTTGTCAATGATTAACTAGCCTTAGATCTCAGATTTGCTGACAATGTTGGTAAACGTATTTGCACTCGAATCAAAGTGCACCTTTCGTAGAGGCAAGAAAAATCATTTTATTCATGTATTATTTGATCTCGTAATGGATTCGAGTAGAGCGGAAATATGTACTGCTTAGATGTGTGGATCGTCCAGCATTTCATTGTATTACTAGGATACAGTTCGTGTGCTTACGCGCGGGGCATCAGACCGCTTTACACCCCGATAGTACCTCTTTGGGTGATTTTATTTTAAGATATCAGCTGAGAAAAACACACGGTGAACAATTGTTTGTTACGAACGTTCATTTGGGTGGGAGAGCACTCACTGTTTTCGTGCCTGGTACTTTTCCTCGAGTGTTTCCCAGGCGTTATCGGGTTACTGTGAGTAATAATGAGCACAAGGGACATATCGACTTTAGAATCGCAGCAAAAACAACGAACAAACTGTAGAGTTGCTTAGAGTAAAATCTGCCATGGGGGATCTCCCCTTTGCCTTAGCGATTTGCACACGGTTTTTGATGATCACATTTGGGAGAACGGTGAGTCTGGCTCGTTTCCGCGATCTCAAACGACGTATCTGGCTGTAAATGCTTCTTTTCATAGGAAAGAACTTATTCAGTTTGTAGTTTTATAAGGAGTTAGGCAAAGGAGAAAAGTTTAAGGCAACGTGTTGTTGTTGCTGCTCCTGCTGTCTTCATTGTTATGGAGTTAGTTCTATCGCATAATTTCGTTCGCTATCGTTTCACCTATTGCAGGCCCTGTCTGCCAACTAGGATGAACGCATTCTAGTGAGTCGCAAGTAAATCTGTCGTCATTACACTGTGACATGCATGAACGCGCCAAGTAATCGACGGAAACTTCTCAAGATGCAAATGACGAGATGCAGTCATCTGAGTCGGTAAGGAATCGGCCGATCAGTCACACCGATCGCTTACAAGTGTTCTCTGTCCCTCACAATAATATACGAATGTTTTCAACTCGGACAGGAAGCGCTATCAAAAAAGTGATGGGCACGTAGAACGAGAGCTTATTTTTGCCGAAGCCGTTGCTAACTTCACAAACAGACCAGTGCACGCTACGATATTATGTATACACATATATAATTGAGATTAACGAATAAACCTCGTGTCATCTATCGCGCATTGTAAACTGCCGCAGCCTTTCGATCCGCCCTTGTTTCATTACACAACGTAAATGCTTACAAAATTTCAGTTTTGACTATTTGACAAAAATAAGAATAATTTTCCTTTTTCTACAACTAGTATTCATTCGAAATGTTTATAAAGCTTCGGTCTATTTCGTACACTCAGGACCGCTGTGTAGATACCAGAAATGCTCAACACCAAAAAGTTCTTGGCTTTCCGACACAGCATCGTTTCTATACACCTTTCTTATTAATTTGCCTGCGCACAAATTTTCTAAGAGAGCCAGCATATTCAGTCGGTTTTGCTTCTATCCACCTGCATTAGCTTGCCATTCGGTTTCAGTGATATGGCGTTTATTATGATTCATTTTAAACTATGTACAAAAAAAATGTTTGTACGCTTCTTGGGAGACGCTTCACCTCGACCGCTATGCGAGTTTGTTTTAAGAGTCGTAGTAATTAGTCTTCTTGGTAGTTAACTTTCAGAAAATTAGCAATTCTTAGTGACAACATGTACGAGCAGCTGGAAGTTATAAGTCCTTAAAGGTATAAGCTTGTCACTATATGCTACTTTATATGCCGCAAACCGCGTCATCTGTGCTCCTTCAATCGGCTTCATAAACAATGGCAGCAAGCTTACCGCTCCATAATTGAGAGCCGGCCCTGTGATACCGAATCAGAGCACCCAGTACTACAGATGAATCAGAGGCAACTAAGTTTAGCATATGGGGCATAAATGAAAGCGCACCTTAGAGCCTTAGAGCTACCAAATTTTGTACTTGTCAATGTTCCATCAGTAAGACTTTTTTGCCTCCCCCAGCACGGAATTTGATAAAACTTTCGTGATCTAACAGTGGACGCCATTGCCCGACTCGACAGCGCTACCAGCTAGCGCGCGTAATTTTAGTCCACCAAATAGATAAAGGGAGTTTAACCTGACCTTGAGATCTCGCTAACTAACTGGTATAAAGATTCAGAACAATCGTACTAACCGCTGCTCCCAAAAAAAACTTTGCCCCTTCGAGACACAGTTTCAAAGGTATGGTGCGAAACATTTAAGCAATATAAGCAAACTGAAAAGGCTCTTATAGACGACTGAAATGTCGCCTGTGGCCTTTTAGTGCCGCCAGGCCTTTAGTCGAATGTGGGCTGGCATGTACTACCATTGTTGAGGGCGAGATGTCTTCAACTAGCATTGTGAAGAAGAAGAAAAGAAGATCCAAATACGCCCTTCGCTCTGATAACGTTCAAGTTCAAGGACGCCGTCTATACTAATGCTGTAAGCATTGTAATACTGGGCACAGGAACTATGGTAAGTGTCATCTCCACATCTTTTCTACAAAGGACTGCCGCGGGTGGCGCCGCATCCGCATTACAAGAAATGTAGTGTGGTCGACACAGAAATCGTCTAGATTAGTGAAGGGTACCATCGGCTCCGCAAAAATAGCTACATTACACGAGGCGCCTCATTTGTTTCCCAATGATATCTTCGTGATTTAGCGTAGTTTAATAGATTTATACCCGTGAAGAACCTATAAGGTGCTTCTCACGAATCTTGCGGATCAGTGCCTGTGCAATATAGTAAGGCTCAAAGGCGCGTGGTAAAGGAACAACCGAATTGTTTAAATAAGCGCACACAGAGGAAGATATGTGGACCGTAACCGTACGTAAACGTCTTCTCCAAGTACAAAGCCAGAAAAGGCGTTCGGGGCTTGCTTGCTTGCTTGATACACTCGCCTGAAAATACCGCATGATGACTTCGGGTGGGCGTTTAGTAAACAGACTGGATTTCTTCTGATCCACCGGGTCCAGCATGCAAATGCCACCAAAAAAAAGTAAATTAGAGCTCTGTAAGCGACTTCGCATGGGGGCACGAAGTAAAAATCTTGCACCCCTAAGTAGGTGCAACGGGCGCTAAACCAGATAGTAATTACATATTCTCACAAAATGAACCTTGCGCACAAACAGCTTGTCTTGTTTATTGTTCTATTCTTGTCTACAGATCTTGTCCATTGGAAATTTAATGAACAAAACGGACTTTTTGCCTCTTCGACGTATTGAAAGACCAGAATTATTTCTACCATGGACTTCTTATCAGTTGGGCTTTTCCAACATGAATTACTGTGGACTAAGCGAATGACCTTCAAACTGGCCAACTAAAACTATTGATACAAGGCCAACATATCCTCGGCCACGTTTCAGTGGCTGGTGAATTGCGTGTCTAGAAAACTCAAGCAACAAATGGCATTAATCTGTCTAGACGATCTCGTAACTTTCTTCAAAAGATTTGAGGGGCATCCGCAGCATCTGCGGCAGGTACCATAGAGATCTTATTGACTCTCCGACGACAATCCACCTTCTTCATGAAAAGCTTCATGAAGTTTGCATTATATTATATTGCATCGCATTGCGCTCCACCCACAGTTTCTCCAAAAACTCCACATGGGCTGTTAAGTGCAGGAGATGCTTTTCCTGTACTTGGAGTAACTCATACCAGCTAGTATTTCTGCACCAGAAAAAAGCCTATTTTCCAGCACTTCCACGACGGACTAAAACAGAGCTGCAGACGAACGCTCGTAGGGTCAGACTCGGAGTTGTCCTTGCCTGATACTAGGTCGGCAGAGAGGCGTGTGGTTGCCTAAGGTAGCTGGCTTTTCTGGGCTTCAAAAGATGAAATGGTGAATCCTTTCAAACAAAATATCTGGCAGTCATGTGGGCGGTGAAGAAGTCCTATTCTTTTTTGATCGGACGACGATTCACAGTGATCACCAAAAGCAGCACGCTAATGTACCTGCAATATGAAATGAAAATTCTTTTGCGCTACGATGACGAGAAATTGACTAGTTTACACCAAAAGAAAATATGTTCTGTCGCTCCATAGCACAGGGACTGCGGTCCGTGTGCGACAGTAGTGAGAGAGTTGCCCCGTCCGACAGAAGATGAAGCCAAATACCAAACAATGACTGTTCAGGCGACGATGAGTTCCCAACTCATTCGTTCTCTGATTTGAATCTGCATTTTATAAGTCCATTCCGAGTTGGGCCGCGCTAAAGTTCTGGATGGTAAAGCGCTGCATTTGCCTCGTATATTTTTTCCAGTTGCCTGCACGACCTAACGATGAGTTCAGGTTGTCTACACTTTACAACATCGCTACGGCGCCTCTTCTGGGCGATTTGATTCGTTCCGGTGTGTGCGACTTTAAGATCCCTATCAAACAGCTGAAGGCCAATGGCGTAGCAAAAGAGGCTGCTCGAACCGTTACCAAGCTGCTTGTCTGTATCATTGGTGAGGAGCTTAGGTACTCTTGCTGTCCAAAATTATGTTTATTATCAAAACCGCAAAAAGCCAAACCTATGAATTACCCTACAAACTTAAAGCCGTGTTAATCGATATACGTCCGTACTCGCGCATTATGTATTCGATGATTTCAAAGACCCTTCGAAGGTTGGTACAGCTATGCCGCCACCGCCGGTTATGTAAGGCTCGAAAGGCGAAATGTTTCGGGTGCTCGCCCAAGGCTATTGAGTGTCTCCACCAGTAGTTCTGGGATATCTGTGAAATTCGTGTCGAGGTTCCATCCATGAGGTAACGTAAAACGATGGAGCGCATCTCATACGACGATCTATCATGATTAACCTACACGATACAAACCTACAGGACACTGGCATGAGGGCATCTCGCTCAGCAGAGGTGGTTTATACACAACGAACTTAACTTAAATAGTTTCAGAACAGTTTGGGTATTCAAGGCAAAACTTAGGGTCCCGTGAACTCAGTCTTGCCTGAACAAAGGCAAAATTTGTACCAGTAAGGATCAGATTCGGCGGCTAGATATACAATATGGATTTAAAAGTGATCTGTTAGACAGTTAAGGCCCAGGCAGGAGCTTTCCCTCAAAAGACTCTCTGCTCGAGGTAACTACTAACGTTGAAGGATATCGCCGGTCTTACTGTCCCTAGTAGAGTACCTCAAAACGTTGTCTCATTTATCTGCTTGATAAGGAAGCACATGATAACATAAACATAACATTAGGGAATCAATGGATAATAAATAACAGGGATAATAACTGCTACATTGGTCTGAATCAAGTGATGAAAGTAAACAGTAGATTTTCAGAGTGATCGTATACACATGTGAATTTTACTAAGCTGAAACAAAAAAGAGGCTCGCGGTAGCTGAGACAGCGAACGAGGCTTTCATAGCTAGCTTCCCTCTAACTGACTTGACCATAGCATCTCGTTTACCAGCTTTCTGGATGAAATTGGGACTTATCCATATTATCACGCAGTTATGTTTTGTCCGAAGGGAAATGGAATAATAATCAGCCTCAACTTCTGCGAGAGAAAAACTTCTGATAAAAATAAACTGCATAAATAAAATGAATCATTTGCATTTTACCTATAACATGATACATTCAAACAAAAACTTTATTTCTTATGTAAAAATGTTGAGTTTTCTATATGTAATTGAAGGAGCCTGCACGAACCGTCGTTTCTCGAGCTTTCTAGAAATTTTATTCTTCAAGTCATCGTACCGACAAGATTATGAGATGCATGACTGTCCAATACTTGCTATTATCGAATGCACTATGTAAACCTGAAATATTGAACAGCGATTAGTGAATTTATTTATAAATAATACAGCCCCTTAATAGGAGTTTGCAGCGCTTGAGATGCGTATAGCGATCAGACCAGTGGGCAGCTGCCTGCCGAAAGGAAGGGACGCAACATGAAGACGCTACAATGCGCAAGAGAGAACTGGCCGTGACAGTAATGAATGAAAGAGGTCCTAGAGGGGCTCCTCTCCAGGGAAATAACATATAAAAATAGTAATAATAATAATAATAGTACATATATCTATCCGTCGTCCAATTCAGCCTACAGAGAACATCACGAACGCCCTTTCTACCGCATCCGCTATGATCTAAGGGACGCTATAGGAGAGGTCAACAAAATAGTAAAACGCATTATTTACGAAGTAATGTATATTTTCCTTCAGGAGCTATCTCCTACTTATGATTACGTTGTATACCGCAAGCGCAGCCTGTGCCTTCATATTTCACAACTAAGTAGATATTTGTGGTATAAGTCTTCGTGATAGAAAAATGAGAGCCCATAAAGAAGGGCTATTTCCCTGTCAAACAAAATATACGAAAAAGGACAATTGGAATGAAGATCGCAGTAGAATGTTACCGCACGTCAAGGGCGTTGGTGTCTTTCCTAAGATCCATGCTCCAACACTGCACTGCTTACGTAAAACGGGATTGAGAGTATTTAGTGGTTCCTGAATTTGTAAAAAAGCACCCTGTATTCAAACGAACAGAATATTGAAGCATTAAGTATCTTTGCATCTTTCAATCGTAACCGTTTCTGTACGGGTCACATCCATAAAAACAAATAAGTACGTGTTAAACGCGCAAGATATTTCAGAATCGACGATTCTTTGTGACGCCATCGGTACGCAATGATAGCTCTGTTTTGATGGCTGTCTATGAATTGTCCGGTGTGATTGTCGTATATGACATTATCTATTCAGTCAAGCCTTGATAAGATTACCAGTTCAAGCATAGCCTTTCCAACATCAATTCAAGTCAGGTTTTGACAGTTAAACACTTGCAGATCCCTGTTGACCCTATTTGATACATATCGACGTTCCCCACCTTCACAGCCGTGCCGAGCATCTCAACACACTAAGCAGCAGACGCCTTGTGACGAGTTCCTGATCGTGCAATAATCGTCGTTCAGTCATTTAGTCGTCTTATGTGGCGCCGATTGAGCCGCTTGCATCTATACACTAACCTTTTTTGCACTGATACGTATATTTACGCAGTAAGTTCTCAGCGACCTTGTTGGCTGGTTTCTTGGCGCCATCCAGCAATAAAAAGGCTATCGAATATAAAATGTTGGGCATTGCTACTCGAGGTAACTTCCAAAATGTCGCACATCCTAAACCGTACAAGCTTTCAGTTTACATATTAACCTTATAATTAATTTCAGCTTTGTCTAAGATTCCTCGAGAAATGATCATAACTTTTTCTCGCATCATCCTTGCCAGTGAGTGAACCTTTTCTTTTTCTGTGACTGCTGTTTGAAAGTACCTAATAAAGGAATCAGCTACATACTGGGGTTACTAATAACATTATAACACACGCTTGTCGTGGCGACATTCACCACACAGTTCTGAGCAAATATCGAAGAGCTGCTACTTGTTTGGCTTAGATTTCCCCTATAGAAGGGGTGCCAGCTTCCTAATACAAGGTATAGACTGGATATATAAGCGACCATCGCAGCTCTTAAAATACTTCATCGCATCTTACATGCGTAAAAAAAATCACAGTTATACTTTAAACACATATTTGTTTATTAATTGGTGTGGAACATAACATGACAACATTAGCCGTGTACGCGGAACGTTCCTTGGCTTAGTAGAGACGCTTTGGAACCGAAATTGATGCTGAACAGCATATACGAGTCGTTAACTGAGGTACAAATATTTCTCATAGGTGTTTCTAAACTCGCTAATCGCGATTTTATGGCGCCGTACGAGGAACGTCAGATTTAAGGTTGGATTTCCCTTTTGCTCTGACATCAATCGAAATTTGCGCAGTCTTCCTAAATCTTCCAAAGGTATCACTTTCTTCAGGTTCGTATTTGATAATAATCTTCGGTTACAGTTGAATGAAAAACATCTACACAAAAATTAGAATCTTTTGATAATATTTATAAGGACAGATGGGTTACTCTATTAATCTATACGTTGAAGTTGCTATTTCGGTAATCCGCTTGTGCTGGAAAACATAATGGATATTGGAAACGTGTTGTATGCGGCTCAAGATCTTTGAATGCAAGTGTGAATTTGTCGTTCAGAGATGTTATTGTATATCTGAGTCCTATTTAAAATATCACAGTGATCGCAACCGGGGGCCTATTACTCACTGTAATTGCATCCATTTACCTAGCAAAAAAAAATCGAATATTTTTCACACTCACTTGACTTCAAAATGTAGGCATGCACATTTGTATTGGATATCCAGTGTCTCAAAATATCGACCAGATAGGTAACCAGATATATATATATATATTTATATATAGAAGTACATCTGCGTTTCTGAGAGGTCATTATTGAGAGTGACGTTTGTTAAGCTATATGTTTAATATGCGCCACGTAATGCAAGTATGAAACAGAGAACAGAAGAAGGTTCAATACATCGAGACAGAATATAACAGATCTATTTTCTATAGACGAGGGTGTTCTTCATAAGGCGGTACTGCTTGCTCTGACGTGACACAAACACGTGCAGATAACGTCATCTTTACCAGGTGCTTGACCTGTCTGATTTCGACTTCTTGATTCAGAATGCGCTTTCGGAGGGGTTCGCTTAGACAAAAACGAAATTCATGGTAGCAAAGCCATAGGGCATTGTAGAGGCCTAGCTTACCACGCGTAGTTCACTCAATCTACCTATCGAAGGGAGTCTCTAGAACTCAATGGAGGGGGAGGTAGAGGTCTCGCTATTTCCTTCTTGCCCGTTGCGTTGTCCAACGCTACAGCACGATAGCGTGGCTGTAACTCCTTTTTTCCCTTCTACTACTGCTGCTGTTGCTGCCTCTGCTACTGTTGAGTGCTTCTGTTAGGTCCATCTTCTACCTTACCCTCTTCACTTTTATCCAATTCTATACTAAAAGCTTCCCCGTGAGAGAGCCATGGACCAAATTCAGCCGGCGGCCGGGGCGCTGCGACTCGACGGCTGAGTTGGCAAAAGGACGACAACGACACCGCCGCCGCTGCCGCCGCCAACGGGGGCTAGACTGAACAAACGCTGAAGCGATGACACTTCGCCCGTTCTAGCCCCCCCCTTTTTTTGTTCTCGGTTTCTTCCCGCTACTTTGAATTGCAGTGGGCATAGCAGCACTGCCCTCTTTCGAAATGCTGTTGCCCTCCGACGCCGGCACTGCTCCCGCTGTTGATGCTGCTGTTACCCCCTAGTGCGGCTGCTAGTTGGTACTGTCAGCCGCTACCCTCCACCAGTCGCTCTTCTTATCGTTCTGCTTCTCTTCTGCGCTCTCTCACTCGCGCACTCCCGTTCTGTCACCGCACTTTTTTTTTCTTTTGCTTTGGGCTTTGTGCAATTCAATTGACCCCCCTGAGCGAACACGGACCGTTTACTGGGAATACAATTGAGTCTATGGCCTGACGGTCCCAAGGACAGAGTCCTGCCGCCGTCCGTACTAACCCCCACAGCGCAGCCACCGCCCAGCCTACTTCGCCTCTTCCATATCCAGAGCATTCTTTGTCTCTTTAAGAAGCAGGCAGAAGCGGGAACGGCAGTCCGGTATGGTCTTCTCGGTCATTGCATCTCGGCTACGAATCGAGATGCTGTCCCCGTGGGGCGTCAGGCCTACTGCTGCTGCTAGCCGTATCGCGAAAAAAGCTGGCATTAAGAGGAGGCGGAAGAAGCGCACGCCGTCGCCTTTTCTCCCACTGGCTTGCCAGTGTGAGCAGCGGAAGTACATGACATCTTCACAAATAGAAGTAGGCACCTTAGAACGTGATCTTCGACGGTTGGTGAAAAGCATGAGGAATAGAAAGGTATAAAGTGAGTAGAATGTGTGCGCCCAAAGAGCGGGTGCCCGCCAACGCATCTTCTGCGCCAGGCACACAGATGGACACACAGTGTATTCGGCGCTAAGAGAGAAGACATTTCCATAAGAGTGGACACAGACGCACATTGACATCATGGAGGTATCAATCTCTAGTCCATTTTCGCCCAGTATAGGCTTGGTTCAGGCATAGGCTAGACGGGCTGCTGGATGTTTTGATTGGATTCGGTTTTGGCAGTCGTACTGATCGAATCGAGTTGTGAAACTTCCCTCGGGCGTGGCATTTGCTAAACAGAGATAATAGTCTTTAAATGTTGCAGTGCCTGATTGTTATACAATGGATGTGACGTCCCACGCTAGAAATGCTAGGTACTTTTGAAGGCCCATATAATTCTTGTGCTTGAAGCCTGCTGTATTTTAAGCAATTGTAGACCGTTGAATTAGCAGGCCATATAACGAAACGTTTGCTCCGCGATTTACATTGTTTGTGTTTAGGTGCCTGAGGTCAGCTTAATAGTCGATACGCTATTAGGTAATCTGAAATGTTTCTTAATAAAAACGACTCTATGTTAATCATACGATATGTTTGATATGGGCGCTTTTGGTAACCAACAAAGCTGTTACGAATAAATGTTATTTAATTGTCTGCAGAAAGCAATTTCTAACAGTTGTTTTAAACGCATCATTCCTCTGTGTACTACCTACTCATTCAAAGGAAGCAGGCTAGACTCACAATAAAGCTCAAAGGATTGGCGAGTAACGCGTTTTCTTCATGTATTGTTTGCGCAGGAGTAATGTGACAACAGTTGCACTACAGTATATGGTCGGCCTTTTCGCGCAGTCTCGCACGCTATCTCCGCATACAACGGTGCGCAACGTACGACGACATTCGCTTGCATACGAGGCTCCATTAATATCAATTTGTCCCTCTGGCTGAATCCGCTACTCCTACTGCCGTCGGCGGTACAGCCTCGTCTACCGCCCTTAACCCTACCCTCTTCTGGGGGTTACACAGCAGGAATTCGAGCTTTCGGAAGTGGTTTCCAAGGAAAGGTAAATCGCAACCCGAATTTCCCTGAGACAGCTCCGTGTACTTCCTCAGCAGGCCATGCTCTCTAGGACAATCGCACTCTTCGTGACTCGTGGGAGGGACAATGGGGTAAATGAAAAACCTCCCTTGCCTTTGTGGAATGACTGTGACCGATTGCCGCGTTTCATCCTTGGTCGCGCCGCGCGCTTCGTCTCTTAGGAGCCTATCTACTCTTCGTACTATTTTCTTCCTTCCCCTTCCAACAATGAAAACCCAGGCGGCTGAGGCCGAGAAGGACTAGAGCAGACAAACCGAGACAGAGTGTCGACAACTGAAGCGAACCATATACACAGGCACACATCTACCCATCTACACACTATATGCATACATACTCAAGGTTCACTTACATCCGTACACAGTCGTTTCGTGACAACTCGAGACGAACCCACTTTCAGACACTGCTTGCCAGCTTGTTTTCTATTCGGCCTTCTTCCGCCTATCTTCGTCCATGCGTGACTAAGCAAGCCTTTGTCAATTCTGCAGTCCGACGGACCGACCAAAACCATAGCCTCTCAGACGACTTAATATCAAGTAAGTTGTCCGAGCACTAAACACACTGGTGTTCTAGGTTGCTGCAAACCGTGCATTAACCCACAGATCGGACACTTTGTAGTGAGTCTATTGACAGACAGAAGGGAACGATAAGAGAACAGAAAATGATTTGCATGGGTGCTACACTAAGCACCAACGCCGTACATTTTCATATATGGCGCGAAACGTTCACAGTTATTTTCTACTGCTTTGATAGCTTATATGTAGGTCAGCTAGCTACCTGTTGACGATGCCGCTCGTATGGTACCTGTAATCTTGGCAGCACAAAATCTATCTGATCGATTACCGTAATAGTTCCATTCCAAATAATATCAGGAATTAAATGTCTTTCATTAATGGTTAATTGGTTGATTACAGTTACCGGTCGTCATTGGGCAACTGTATTTGCCTTAAAAACAAGAAGTTTCTCATAGTTGGAGTGTAATAGTTCAAGTATTGTTCGTTATCGTACATACTTGAAACGAATTTAGTGACGATGCTTGTTATATCTAATAAAAAGAAGTACAGGTTTCGAGTTCTAGCTAAGAGTTCTGTCTTGGAGTTGGAGAAAATTTTTGTAGTTAAATGTTCGAAGCGTACTCCATATGCCTTGACGGTACAGCTTAGGTTAGTTGAGCTGCTTAGCATTAGCAAGACTGTGTAATGATCTCACGCGCGGACCAAATATTGATAAATCCTATAAGAAGCTTAGCTCTCGCCAGGTAATTAGCGGCCAAAACGCCCCGATATACTACAGTAAAGTCATGTTGTTGATATTATAATAGTTATACTAAGCTATTATGGGCCTTATTGGTAAGCTACATAACGTTAGGCCTGAAGTTCATCTGTATTTTTATACAGATGAACTTCAAGCAGACTAAACAGTTCTTAGCTGTTCGCACGCTAAGTCTTCAACGAATTATTAATATGTTTTCAATTAGAATAGTCAGACAAATTGGTTGAACCTAAACAACTATTTCGAGTTTTGCTACGTTGCGACATCACTGCCTACCTGCCTACCTACCTACCTACCTACCTACCACAACTGATCCACATATGTCTATGAAGCTGAATTGCCTCTTCTATGAACCTAGCTTATACTATAGCGCGATTAATTAATGTACGGTAAGAAATTATACATGTCTAGCTATGAGTCCTCTTCCATAGACTCTCTATAAACTGTGTGATATTGCGACTCATAGTAACGAGGTTTCAGGCCTCGAAGAAATAGTGACAAACTTTATTAGATCCATGACAAAATATTACACATTTACATTAGCTCTGCATAGAGATATAGTTGCTTGTCTATTGGCGCCTTAATGCTTTGTTGATTTGAAAAATCTGGTCCTGAGTGTTGCTTTTCGTTTCTCAAAAATGGAGCCAACCCTTTTAATGGAGTTGAACGTCTAATCTTATTAACAGATTTTTCTCAATCAGTTTTAACAGTTCAATAGGCTATTCGCAGTATTAACACGTGTGAAAACAGATTGTGCTGAAAGTTTTCCTTTTACGACGAGGCTTGATGTCCTTCCTCATTACATTCTCCTCTGACGGATTTGATCTTTTCGGCAGAAGCCGACAAGAACGCCGGGTTTAACGACCCGTGGCCCAACGGTGTATGATTCAGTGCCTCAATGAACTTTCATTATAGCGGGGCAAACTAGATATACGTAGGCATATACGATCTTCTCAGCAGAAAAGTAGAAGGTGCTGATTGTTAGGTTGTTCGTATGGCAGTCTATAGATTTCGCTTTCCAAGGGAAGAAGAAGGTTTCCAACTGTATTATCGTGAATGAGACATATGATTTCGTTTCGGATAATTTCTTTATATATTGAGTTGGACATGGGAAGCATTGACCTATTCTGTATGTTTATTTAAAAAGAAAAAATATAATTAAATTCCAGGTTGAAATATATTGCCATAGTGCTCCTTACTGCATACATATATAGCAGCCGTCTAATATATGATGCCAGATCTGTCATAGTAGTAATACAACTTGTCATTGATTAACCTACGCTAAAGAAACACTCAAGCGAACTTCATATGATGCATCAATCGCAAAAATATCGTTTAGCCTTCTATAGTATTTGGCCTATACTCATGTCACTCTAACGCTAGGAAAAACAGTATTTTCAAATAATAGGATCTTATTCAATTAGAATAAGGTTTCAATAAAATTTCGAAAAGACCAATTCGCATCGATCATTTCTCCCTTGCTCGTGTAACTTAACATAAGAGTATAGAATGAAACTAGATTCCCGCTTGACCACAAACGTAAATGTTACATTCAGAATCGAGAGGAGGCGTATCATCTTCTTGGTCTATTTTTTTCCGATATTTCCCTGCTTTTTTGTCTCTCTTGCTTCTCCGAGGTACGAGATACACACTCACAGCTATAACTCGGCTAGTTCAAGCCTTCTCACATTCTTGTTCGTTATGCAGCTATCTGTTTACGGTCAACCATCGTAGACAGTCTGCAATCTAAAAGTTAGTAACTCCCTTCTTGTTTTTCCTCTAGCCCAGAAAGAACTTAGGCCATGCTTTGTTAGATAAAAAAAAAAAAAAAAAAAGTACCGGGTTTAAGAGAACACCCCAGCTATCTTGTTCCCCCCTTTTATCCCCGTCCGGACTGTAACGATCGCCTTCTTGCCCAAACCTGTCCTTAGCGTTAAGCTCCCGGATGACCCCAGTTAGCTATGGTCCGCTTTTCCAAATGCAGCTCTCAGTCCCTATTACTCCTGCGACTCCGTTTCTGATGCCATTCCCACTCGCCCATTTTCTCAGCCTTGCGTTAGCCATTACATGGCATCTCTATTACTTCATACAATCTTGTCGTCATTGTTGTCATTTCAGCGTCAACGGCACCAGCAGCAGCAATGACGACAACGGCTCACTGTAGCCACCCTCTCATTCGTCTCGGCCAACGAAGTCCATGTCGATATTAAATTTCCAAAGCTCGCCTTGGCTTGTGTCTCGTCCATTATTTCGTCCTTTCCTTCTTTTCCCCTCTTTTTTTTTTTTTTTTTTTTTTATCTATCAGCTGTTACCAACTATTGTTCTCATCACCGAGATCGGCCTCAGTCTTTATTGGGCCACACAAGGAAACTAGGGAAGGAAAATGGTATAGAAGGGAGAGTGTTGATGTGAAGCGGGAAGAAGATGTGGTGGAAGATTCTGGTGAAGCCGAAGCAAGGGACTGGCGAGTGAGGAAGAGAGCTGAAGGAGAACGTGACTGAATGGGAAAAGAGAGGAAAGGAAGAAGCTGAAAATACAGGATGGTAGCAAAGCCGAGCCGAAGCCAGGAACCGAGCCCAGGCCAAAGAGAAGATGAAAAACAAGGCTGAAGGCGAATGAAAACGAGGGAGCGAGAGTTAGCTAGTAGGTAGAGACGAAAGAGGAGTAAAGCCTTGCAAACCGCTTTCCCTTTGATCGTGAGCGATTTCCCTGGAGCTTTACGATCTCAATATTGTCCCGCCGTCAACAAGGCTCCGTATTCGCTTTCCATCGTTTTCATGCGTCTTGCGCCTTCCCCAATGAAGCCTGCTGCCTCCATAGCCCAACCTAGGCCACCTTTTCACTCGGTCTCTCATCTGGGACGAGAAACTTCCCTGAAGAATTCCAAGCCTGCCGTTTCAACTGCCTCGTGCTAGCCACCGTTTATTGTCCGAATATACAATACACTCTGTAATAGCCTCCCTTCGTGCCTCTAATCGGTTTCGACCACACCCAAGGGACTAATTCTTATATCATAGGGCGGTAGACACTATTTTAAATCGGAAAAAAGGTTCTCATCAACTGCGAGTTGCGGTTCGTCCCAGCCACACGACAGCTGGGCCTCGATGAGCTCAGCTAATCAATAATTGTTGTAGACCGCCTCAGATAGGGAAATTAAGGGACCAATATCGCGGCAAGATTAGGAAAAGAACAAGGAGAGAGAGACCAAGTGAAAAAGACGAACTTGCTTCTAATTTATAGAACTATTTGGCAATCAAGTTGTACATGGTCAGTGTTATGGCCTAATGAAAACTATCATTACTAAGGTAGACGGTCAGGATAATGAACTCAGACTAATGTAGCACTGTTCAATTTTACTTTCAGTACATTTTAATTAACATGGTATTATTTAATAATTGCGTACTGCTAATTAAAATATAGTTATGATTATTATTTTAGTGTATTCATTGGAAGATGGAGATTTGCACGTCTTCTATATTATACGTCGGATATTACGTTGGATAGTAAATATACTTCTTGCCAACTTCCGTCTCGCAGTTGCGGCTCAGCTTGTAAAGAAAAGTCGTGAAAATATGTATCTTTTATATTGCATTGAAGTTGCTAAACATCCACCTAGAGCAACTGGCGCCATGTGCTTGTTAGCCCCAGCACATGGGCCAGAGACTAAATACGACTTTATGAGACCGCGACACTCAACGAGTGCCGTAAAGAAACTACTTCGACCCACTTTGGCTACACTCACTTCTATATATGTATATAGGATATCGTACTCGTGAGCGTAGTAACAATAGCTAAGTATTCACAAACGCAATACAGAGTAACGTTAAGGGGAGTGGCGTTTTACGAGGTTGTGCTACATGCAAAGTAGAAAGCAATTTAATACTCCTCGGCTCTTTTTTAATGATGAGCTCGAGAATTGCGTTTTTATATGCAACACTAACTCATTCACGATGGGAAAGATTCTCGTTATGAATTTGGTAAACACAGCACCTATGACGAAGACCTCTCTTTAAAGCAGACCTATAGTTCAATGTAACGCGCTAAAGTAATATATAGTCTTATATCTAAATATGAACTCTCTTTTGCAATATGTACTACATTGATAGCTTTTGAAATATACAGACCCATCGCCCATTTACGGGTGTACGTTCCAACCATTATCACCTGAAGCCAAAAAAAGCGTAGAGAAAATGTACGCGTTCATAGTGTGGTTGTCAATTGTGTGCAGTAAAAGCTGCTATTACCTGTTTTTAGTAGATAAAATCGATCGGTATGCTTCCCTTCAATCACCAGTTGGGCGTCAGACAGAACAGCTTCTTTAAACAAAAGCTCAACGTTAATATTAAAGGTCAATTTATTAGGTATATTATGATTGATGTGATCAATTCACTACGACTGACAGAATATTAGAAAGTTTGTGCCAACATCTATTATTTGGGTTTAACTGCAGGGCAAATGTAAGCAATATGAGATATCTCTCTATCTCTCTCTCTCTCTCGTTTGTTCTCTGCATGTCCATATTTAAACAAACGTTCTCGTTACGCGCAATACAGGTACACTTATATAATTATATCGTCTTCCTGTGTTGAACTTCAAGACCGGCAGACACCGAGCCTACAGGTGTATAGGCGATATCTAAATTTTTATGAGGATCGCCGAGCTAGATCTTAACCCCTGTCGTTTCCATTATAGCAGCTATTAATGTATTATACAGAGACAATTTTACTAATCCAAAAA